TCAAGTAGTCGCTGAGGGAGGTCAATACAATGAAGAGACTTCAGAATCCATTCGTGAGGGACAGAGTCGTATGCCTTTTTGTAGTCAATCCAGCACATGGAGAGGTTGCGGTGATATGTTTTTGCCTCTTCCAAAATCATTTTCTGCACAAGAAGTTGATCCTTGCACCCCCAACATCCCTTTCTTGCCCCCTTCTGCTCTCTGTAAATTATATCATTGGAAGAGCATTATTATTATTATTATTATTATGTTTTACAGATTAAAGATAATATGCAGCAGAGAGGGTTTGGGTGATCCTGGCACAGTCAGGCTGGTAAGGCTCATCATCAGCTCAGGGCCCTTGCCCCCTCTACACGCAGCCCAGACAGCGAATGGGACTTCTCCCAGGAAACGCTGCCTAGTCGAACCCACCAAGAACTTTCCGGAGAATATGAAGGCTCCCCAACACTGCAGCCTTCTGCATTACCTAGAGTGTCAGAAGGGCTGTACTCCCGGTGGAGAACCCGGGCACTCTCCTGATCTGTGCCAAAAGATCAGGAGGTACCAAACCAAGGGCACCGAGAACAATGGGGAGCCTGACGACAGTGTACTTGGGATGCAAGCGAGACATTTCAAAGGCGAGGTCCGCATATTTATCATGCTTTTCCTTGATCTTGTCAATCACATTCCTGTCAAAAGGGACAGAAAATTCAATGATATATATAAATTCATTGGCTTTATCAAAAGGACGAGATCAGGTTTGTTGGCAGGAATTCTTCTGAGGCTGTATATGGGCCTATTCCACAGAAGTTTGAAAGCATCATTTTCCATGACGCCCTGGACAGTGCTTCCTGTCCTGGCTTGATGTATGTAGTGGGCGCTTCCTTGATGTATGTAGTGGTGCTGTCCTGGCTTGATGTATGTAGTGATGCTTCCTGTCCTGGCTAAACGTGTGTAGTGGTGCTTCCTCTCCTGGCTTGATGTATGTAGTGGTGCTTCCTGTCCTGGCTAAACGTGTGTAGTGGTGCTTCCTGTCCTGGCTAGATGTATGTAGTGGCGCTTCCTCTCCTGCCTAGACACATGTAATGGTGCTTCCTGTCCTGTCTTGACATATGTAATGGTGCTTCCTGTCCTGGCTTGATGTATGTAGTGGTGCTTCCTGTCCTGGCTTGATGTATGTAGTGGTGCTTCCTGTCCTGGCTAAACGTGTGTAGTGGTGCTTCCTCTCCTGGCTTGATGTATGTAGTGGTGCTTCCTGTCCTGGCTAAACGTGTGTAGTGGTGCTTCCTGTCCTGGCTTGATGTATGTAGTGGTGCTTCCTGTCCTGGCTAGACGTGTGTAGTGGTGCTTCCTCTCCTGCCTTGACATATGTAATGGTGCTTCCTGTCCTGGCTTGACGTATGTAGTGGTGCTTCAAGTCTTGACTAGACGTTTGTTAGTGGTGCTTCCTGTCCTGACGTGTCTAGTAGTGCTTGCCCTGCTGCCTAGACGTACGCACTGGCGCTTCAGGACATATTAAATGTCGTGGTACGTATTGCGGACCAGACTTAATCTCATGGTAGTTTGTCCTGATCGTGCGAGACGTGTGTCAGACAATCTATTTCGTGGCTAAATGGGACTTGGTTGACGAACTCGTTGGCCGTATGACCATTGGTTAAGTGATAACCATCTGATGGTCATCAGTGATGACCACTGATGACCATCATTAGGACCTAAAATGTTTCATGGTCATTCCCAGTACAACCATTGGTTACAAAAGCTGTGTGACGTGATCAGTAACTGTTGTAGCCTCGGTGAAGTCAGTCCACAAATGATCGATGATCTGACCGCTGGCTAGTTGAATCCTAGATGGGACATTATCCGTTGGCGTCGTTACAAAATCAAATAATGTGTAACGATCATAACCAAACAGCACGGCAATTGAACATGTCTCAGGTAAGAATCCGTAGTTGTACGTATGTGGTACCATAGGACAACCGTAGTGATGAGGCGGTAGGGGATGTTGACTGTCTACCCTACTTCACAGTGACAGGTGTTGACCCCCGGTGGGTGTCCAGATTGAGATGAGGGTGGCAGGAGAGGGGTGTGCTTCATTTACTACCGACGCCAAGTTACTGTAATTCAATAATACTTGCTCTAATAACACAATATCCTTATTTTTCTTGACCCCCAGTGGTCTAATGCCCGAGGCCCGCGTGCCCCAATATGAGAGATACTTGAAACAGAACAAAGGGGATCAGGTGTCCCCTCTCTAAACACCAGCAACCCCAGGGAAGGATGTGTTAAAGGATTAATACAGTGGCCATTACCTTTGCCAAAACTCGATACTTTTCCATTACCCTAATCAATGTGTTGAGGCGGAAGTAAATGCGCTATCCTTGTCTGAACTGTTGACACTTAGATGAGATCTGGTGACGCTTCTGGCAAGAATTAGGTATTAATGTATTATTAACTGATTTCATCATTATTTATTTGTTATTAACTGATTTCATTATTATTTATTTGTTATTAACTGATTTTATTATTATTTATTTGCTAATAACCGATTTCATTATTAGTTATTTGTTATTTACTGATTTCACCATTAATTATCTGTTATTGACTGATTTCAACAGTATCTATTTATATAATGCTAACTACTTGTTATTTATTGATTTCATCATTTTATTGGTTCACTGAAATCATTGGTACTGTTTTTATCGTTATTTGTTTCTTATTAAATGATTTCAGGATTGTTATTAATTGATTTCATCATTATTTATTTGTTATCAACTGATTTTAACATTATCCATTCATTTGATGTCAAGTACTTGTTTTTTTTGGTTTCATATAAAGGAAATTTGTTCACTGAAGTCATTGTTATTGATTTCATCGTTATTTGTTTCCTATTAAATGATTTCTGGATTGTTATTAACTGAATTCAACTTTACTTATTTTTTTGTTACTGATTTCAACATGATATTTTTTATACTAAATGATTCCGTTATTTCTCCGAATCTGGCATTCTTGAATCTATTTCAAAAGTAGAGTGATTAATTAACACTTTCTGTTTCATTCATCGGTCGTTGTCTCTGCTATTCTAATTTCCAATACATATTTATTCAGAACTTTTCAGAAGTTCAAACAGGTACATATGTAATGTTTGTATGCATATACTGTTATTGACAGTAGTAACAAAAGAATTGATATAGAAAGATGATATTAAATGTGGAATAAAGTTTTCAAAGTGCATGTACTTTATAGTCTTCACAATTCTGTTTTACGTACTATTAGATTCAAAGGTGTTGCGTTTTATATTCACGGCGTCGATATAAATAGCTTATATTGTATTATTCAGTGTCTAATATGGTCTGTGTTGTATTGTATATATTAGATAATATTGTGTTATATCTGCAGCATTGTATTATTTACACTAAAACGTATTGCATAGTTTCAGTTAAACAGTATTGTATCATACAGTGTAGACAGTATTGTACATTATACACGATATTGAATTAAATAATTTATACAGTTATGCATTATAAAATATAAACAATATTGAATGCGTAATTCTATCACTATTTAGAAGAAATACATGTCAGATATTAAGTGTGTGTTGTGAGTATTCTGTGTCTTATTGTTACCGCGTCAGAAAGTGATGCTATCTGGTGATATCTCCCTCATCCTGTCCACGTTTATGTAAGATATCACACCAGATATCGTTTCAAGGTAATTCGTGGATCTCATAGTCATAGTGTGTGACGATTCAAACCTGCTAAATACTTGACTGTAAATTCTTACAGAAAACATAGCGAGTGTATTTAATGGGTTTCACAGGTGAAACGTTTTATGAATGTGTGAGCCCAGTTAAAGGTATTTTTGTTCCCGGTGAAAATAAGCATACACGTAATCAAGACAACGCATTGCTACATGTACTGTACCTATAAATGCGTTAAAAAATGGTAAAAAAAGAACGCATTGCAGCCACACACTTGGATCAGGATTCGGCAGCCGGGGACCTAATGTACACAGCGGCCATTCAGTGGTCATTGAATGGCGCTTCTATCAATATCTTTCTTCGCCCACTTTCAGGCGACCCAGTCAAGACAGGGTTATTAAGGCTATGGTGTCGGCGAAATTTAAAACAGTTATAGACTGCCTCGAAATAAAACGCGCACCTTAGTAATGTGTGTTTAGTTAATTTGTAGGCTGTTCACATTTTGAGTGATTGAGTTCAGTTTTACGCCACTTTTAGCAATATTCCAGCAACATCACGGCGGGGGACACCCAAAATGGGCTTCACACTGCACCCATGTGGGGAATCGAACCTGGGTCTTCAAGTGACGAACGAATGCTTCAACCACTAGTCTACCCACCTCCCTTCTTCAAGCTATAACATCATTTATAGTGAGTTTGGTTTTACGCCGCATTAAGCAATATTCCAGCAATATCGCGGCGGGGGACACCAGAAATGGGCTTCACACACTGTACCCATGTTGGGAATCGAACGACCAAAAGAAAAAAAGATCCGGAGCAACAATCCATCATGTGATTTCAAAAATTATAATGTGACGCTTGCTCAAATGCAGGGTTGCAGCATTTGATGCCCGGGGTATATGGAAACGTATTACTTCAATTTATGTGTGATATTATAATCCGCTAGGTTACCCCATCGCCCATGTGGGACATCAGGGTGAGTGAGTGAGTTAGTTTTACGCCGCACTCAGCAATATTTCAGCTCTATGGCGGTGGTCTGTAAATAATCCGAGTCTGGACCAGACAATCCAGTGATCAACAGCATGCGCCTCGATCTGCGCAATTGGGAACCGATGACATGTGTCAACCAAGTCAGAGAGCCTGACCACCCCGTTAGTCGCCTTTTACGGGACATCAGAAATAGGCTTCACACTTCATGGCCATTTCGGGAATAGAATCCATGTCTTTGATCTGATGAGCGAGCGCTATGCCCACTGAACAACCCCACCACCCCGCCTGACATGTTTTTGCATGACACAGATGAGACACAGACGAGACACCAGTCGGCAGATTGAATAGTCTTTTATTTGGTCAAAGATGTGTCGAAGTACCATCGTTTCACGTATCCGTACAATTGTACACACATACGTTTGCGAACACGCTTCCCTTTTATCTTGCATTTGTTAGTGCCGAAGTCTTTTCCCCGTCCGCAGCTCCTGCAGTCGCAGACCCGTCTCCTGTAGCGACATCCCTGCACACAGCTGCCCCACGCCCCCCACTGCTGGAACCCACAGTCTGAGCCGCACGCCTCTTTCTGCTTCTTCGATCCAGTACATTTTCGACCTCTCTTCGTACAGGACCTTCTCCGAGTCCTCCGTCCGCGTTTACAGGCGGACCAGGCGGACCAGGCGGACCAAACACCCTGTTGAACCTCCCGCCAGGCACCAAGATTTACTTCGGGTAGCTGACTGCACGACCTGAGGGTGTTCCTGTAACAATCAAAGCCAAAGTTTTCAAAATAACTAGTAATAGTTGAATAGAAGCGACGAACATGTTTCCACATACATAAGACAAAGGGACCGTTCAAAATGTATGGCTGGTGTGTGTGTGCGTGCGTGCGTGCGTGCGTGCGTGCGTGCGTTGATTTTAAGGAGGGTGTCCCCCCTTTTGTTCTCATTGTATAAACAAAATTATGCTTACAGATTATGGGAGGGTGTGGTACAGAAGGGGCGGGGGGGTCACTTACATTGTACATGCTTCTCCATAACAATCATCATCACCCCCTAGCAATACATTACGAATGGCCCCTAAAAGCCTATATTTGTTTCAGCAGCATTACAGCTGTACGATGTTGTCTGGACCATACAATCCAGTGAATGTCACCATGCGATACGATTACAGAGCATGTGCTTATGAATCAATATTCTGTGCATTGGTTGCCCTGTTGTTAAAGCTATCACTTATCAAACCGAAAATCCTGGTTGTATTGCCGAAATGAGAAACGTTTAGTGGGTAACGCGTTCGTTTTATCACGCCAAAGTAAGAGTTTGAACCCCACAAAGGTGAGGTGAGGTGAAATTGGGTTTAACGTCGTGCTTGAGAATATTTCGCTCATATGACGATGTGCATGCGTGTGTATGTGTATTTGCGGCTGCTTGTATTAGCCCAGACTTAAGCTGGTTTTATAGTGCTAGCCCACGGAGATACCACGCCGCAGTGAAGCATGAATACCCGACTCGGACACATTATACTGACTCCGAGCCGACCAGTCATTGTTGTACCCATTATTGCCGAGCGCCAGGCAGGGACCAACAAGTACCATATTTTTACGTCTTTTGGTATGACGCGGTCGGGGATCGAACCCGCGACCTTCCGCTCTCCGGGCGGACGCTCTAACCACTACACCACGGAGGCGGTCCCCCACAAAGGCACCACGATAATACAGCATGGGGGTCGTGCTTTCCCTTTTCGGAAATCAGCGTTGTCTACTTTCTCATCACTAAACACCTCGCCCAAGCCTATTCCGACCTCGACCCAATCACAATATTAAAGCAAAAACAAGGCAAGGGACATTGGAGTGAGTGAGTGAGTTTAGTTTTACGCCGCTTTTAGCAATATTCCAGCAATTTCACGTCAATCAACACCAGAAATGGGCTTCACATATTGTACTCATGTTGGAATCGAACACAGGTTCTCGGCGTGACAGGCGAACGCTCCGCACTAGACTACCCCACGCTCGGGGTCATATGGAAACGTGTTAGTTAAATCTACGTGTCTGATATTATAATTTACTAACGAGTAGGTATCATCTGGTATCATCTGGTACCGAAGATTCGACATAAAAAGCATATATCCTTGAGTAGCTGAAAATAGTGCGCCTTTCTTAAAAATAAACCTACAGCATAAAACCGTTCTCTCTCACTCACCATTCTAATAACACATAGTCCCAACAAAGTCTGTATCACAATAATCTGTATGAATGCATCAGTAAACATATCTAATCCCTGCATTATCCGTGAAAGTTATTGTGGTTTTGCCAGAATATCACGTTTCATTTGTGATTTCGTTTTAATTAATACATTTTCCTGACAACTCAACCGTGTACCCAGGGAACTCACCCTCTTCCAGCCTTCTTGAAAGCGTTAGGTTGGACCTTGTAGATGTTGGTGTTGTCGCAGACCACGCGGGAGAGAGACGTGTGGTGGAGTTGAGTCAGTTGATCTAACGGAAGAAGACATTAGAAGTCATTAGGAATTCGAAGAAACACAGATTAAATGGTGTTTGCATTGGGGGATATGTTACCTGGAAAAACGACATATATGCGTACCTCGTGTAAACCGGACAGCCTTGTGTTTTGTCTCATACCAGAATCTGTCGCCGATCTTGAACAGCTCGAACTGACGGCCGATAATGCAAGAAAAGGTGTTCCCCACCAGACCTCCAGGAACTGGGCGCTCTGATATGCCTCCAGAGAACAGATCAATGTCGCTGGGAGATCTAAAATGACAGTTTAATTCGATTTACAATCTTACTGGCAAACAAGGATAAGTTGGGACGGCGCAGAGAACGCGTTTACGAGAAGTAGGCGGTGCACGGCAATGAGCAAACCCATTTGCTTTGTGAAATTTAGAGCAGATGTAGGCTAGTGCACGTGCATTACATGTCGATGAAATTGATTCCGCGCGTAGTTGCACACGCCTTGCTCATAAGACTCTCACGTCGGTGTAGCAAGTCGCACTACACTTGATCGCGGACAACCTGGGACCCCTCCGCTAACAATGGCAAGCGCCAGTGGGCGACACTCATACATGCTAATACGGGTCAATTGCCAGGTCGTGCTCAACTTATCCTTGTTTGCCGGTAAACCTACTCATCACATAGATATTGTTGTACGTCTCATGGTCCTTATTATTGCTATATGGGTCCAGTACTGCACATATGACTTTAAATCACACCTCAGTCACCAATGCTCAGAGCACGCACCTGTACAATGATTGAAAAGCTGCCGCCACATCGTCAGAATGATCCACAAGTCCTCCACGGTCTGTACTAAAGTCATGAGCTTCAGGGAGTCCACACCACCTCCGCCAATCATTGTATCCTGGTAGACCATGGTCACGGCCACGCTGAATGTTTAAAGACATCAGATCAAAGCTGTTGCCTTCATCATCCGAGAAGAGGAAGTCGGAAACTTCAGGGCTGACGTACCTGTCCACAGAATTGGCACTATCAACCAGCAGCCCTCTTGTCAGTTTATTTATAGCATCACCTGATGATGAGATAATGATGGACGTGTTTCCAAAGGAGTGTCTAAGCTGAATATTTGTTCCAGCCTTATAATGTTGGTTTGGGCAACTGAAATATGTTCTTATCATGGAGTGTCCAAAGCGGTAGGCTGCTGTAGCAAAGGCATTGCGAACACTTGCATCAGCATCGGCATTGTAAATTTTAACAGGACCTTTCGATGGACGGAGTCTAAATTTGTTGTAGAACTTTGGTGGAAGGACGACGGGAAGGAATTCGGCATAGGTGATGTGCTGCATCATGGCTCCCACAATCTTCCTGGCTTCCTGGAACAGCCGCTCATCATCCCAGTGCGGGTTGATACTTGCAAGCTTCCTGGCCACTCTGTTATGTTCCCGTAGCCAGATGGTGTGCATACTTGTCAGAGACATTTGCTCGTCCACTCTCTCGTCACCTGTACACAGATAAACACCTACGTAGTAGAATTTGAGTTTAGATGCTTCATATATTAGGGGTTTTTATCTTTCGACATTTTCTACAAATGTTGGGAGTCACTAAGACACTGAATTAGACAGGTCAAAGCTGATCGCTAGTATTCGCTGGAAAACATCCATCGGTAACATGAAAATATCCTAAAGTCAGATGTACAAAAATGGGAGCACTTGGGGCCCAGTTTGATTAAATGTCAATTCATTTTGCAGAGGTGCGTCCCTTGGGCATGGCAGAAATTGATGACTGGATTCGAATCCCATTTGAACGTGTTCTGATTGGCCATGCACCAACATCCACGCCTGTGGGTTCCAACAAAGTGGCGAACGTCTAAGGCCTGCATTAGTTCTCGCTCTCCTCCGTTAGTAAGAGGCAAGCCAGCTTGCCAGAGACATATAGACACATTGATGGTAAGATAAGGAAAAGTTGCAAAAATTTACACTACATCCGTGGCTGTGGGTTTCAACCAAGTGTCGAGGAGGAGAATCCAACGAGGCGCGATACATACCTGCCTTGAAACAGTAGTTAGGTTCAGTGGATGTGGCACAATTCGGGACAGAGTTTCTTGGAAGCAGTTCTGGTTTGTCAGATGATGTTCTCAGCAATCCTGAAAGCAGGTAAGGTGGAATTCACTGTAAAGATTGCTACCCATGTCTGCATTCCAAAGACACACAGATCAACCGGCCCATAATTTCCAATAATGGAATAAAGTATGTATCAACTTCAATCATGAAAAATAGGCATTCCTTTTTCTATATTAGTTTTATAGCACAAATACTATCTGATTGCATTTGCTGGAGAAAACTTTAACACAGCATGATACTGATTTTCAGTATATAATTAAAAGTCGTTGGAATTACCGCAGAATATATGCGGCAAAGCCCTTTCCATGTTCAGGAAACGTACTGTCATGTGTCTTCAAAGCTTGACAAAGGAACATTGAGATGAATCTTGCAGAATATTCCGGCTTCGTTAGTTATTTGTAACATGTGAGTGAGTTAGTTTAGTTTTACGCCACACTCAACAATATTCTAGCTATATGGCGGTGGTCTGTAAATAATCGGATCTGAACCGGACAATCCAGGGATCAACAGCATGAACATCGATCTACCCAATTGGGATACGATGACGTGTCAACCCAGCCAGCGAGCCTGACCACACGATCCCGATAGTTGCCTCTTATGACAAGAATGGGTTACTGAAGATCAATTCTAACCCAGATCTTCAAGGGTTGTAATATGTTAGCGTATGCATCACGAGAAATTCAGGTAATTTTTGTGTTCAATATACTTATTGTGTTTTCTATTGACTATCTACATGATAGTAGCCTGTTAATCTAGTTTGGACCAGACAATCTAGTGACCGATACGTTTTGTTTCAGAAGTTGCTGGAGATGTATTCAGCCCAAGAATCACCATGGGTCCTGTTTCCCATACTGGGCCATTAAACATTTAATAGAAAAGTTCTATATAACCTGTGTCAACGCATGGTGTACGCGTCAACTGGGGAATTAGCTCATAATTAAGATGAAGTGTGCGTTGATGATGACGAAGGCATAGTTGAGTACAAACGTCTTTAGTACATGACAAACAAATACACAAGACATGAGTGAGGTGAGCGGAGTACCTGCTCAATCCCAGGGCGTTTCCTACGAGCGGCATTATCCTGCTCGTGGTCGTCCCAACAGACAGTCCAAATACCGAACTCGTACTCCTACACTGTCTAGATGTGAGCATACTAAGTATATATACAGTTTTTGACAACAATGGACAGGCGACGACTCATCAATGGACACACAGAAAAACAATAGCACTTCCTTGACCAGTTGATGTGATGGCAGACACGGACAAGGGGGATTACCAATGAAGGTTATAAATGTTTATACGATAATTAATGGGCTGACAAGTCAATTTACAATGCGGTAGTGATAAGGATGTACAGTAGTGATTAAAAATACAGGTTAGCGTCATATATATATATTACAATAAAGTCTCACATGTCTTGAGTACATAGTTTTTAGTTTTTAAATATTTGGACGATGGCCGTCCTAAATTAGTCCCTATAACACCTGTTACACAGCGTCACTGCTACGGAAGTTGCAATTAGTTCCAGGGAAGGTATTGTGATTTTTTCCATAGGGGCGATACTTGACCAAGACATGTCAAAACTACAATGAATGGAACCTGAGGAAATTAAGAACAACACCCATGGAATCACCTGTTGAACTGCCAATATATATATACTGAGATACAGGAAGTCTCACTTTCAGCCATTTGTATCCAAAAGAATCAGCGTGGTCAGAGATCTGTCTACATTTCAACAGAGGCGATGTATCACCAAAGTGCAATCCTACTGATTGTGCACCGGGAGGCCTAATTTTGCACAAGTTGATGGGCATGAGACAGAGGTTTAGTGGACCAGATTTCCTGTCAGAGGATGGAAATGAACTCAATGTGTTGGCAGCATTTTGAAAAGAATGATATTCCAACACATCCACTTGGTGAACTTATTGATCTTTACTCCAGCTGGAATAGTTTGAAGAGTTGGGTGACTTCATCAAGATGCTAAAGAAAAGGATAGAACCAAAAGCTGAAGAATAAAGTTACACCATTGAAGGTCCGTTGGAAAGTCAACTTTGGCCCTTTCTAAATCAAGCAAGAAGTGAGTGAGTTGGGTTTTAAGCTGTTTGTAGCAATATCCCAACAATATCACAGCGGGGGACACCAGAAATTGGCTTCACATATTATACCCATGTGGAGAATCGAACCCGGGTCTTTAACCACTAGGTTACACCACCGCCCCTAAATCAAGCAAGAAGATCCACAGTCAAAGGGTTTGGAATTTTGTTTACAAAGCTCAGATATAGACTCTTGTTTCAAGGCTATTAAAAGATTTATTGCAAGGTGTCGAACCTAGAGAATCACCAGATCTGAAAACAGAACCAATCTGATAGGAGTGAGTGAGTTAAAATTTAATGTCTACTCGGCAATATTTCAGCCATATAGTGACGAGAAATGTTGAGCATACACAATAAATACAAGTAGGTAAATAACCAGTCATCGACGGACTGTAAAATAACTAGAGTATCACAGATATGGATATAAAACTAGAATGGAAAACTAAAACATTTTAACTAAAGAAGACCAATACAATATAAAACACGGGCTGTAGATCGCCAACAACTGAAGGTAGATCACCATACTAGGACTGACTGAGTTTGGTTTTACGCCGCTTTTAGCAATATTCCAGCAACATCACGGCGGGGGACACCAGAAATGGGCTTCACACATTGTGCCCAAGTGGGGATTCGAACCCGGGTCTTCGGCGTGACGAGCCAACGCTTTAACCATTAGGCCACCCCCCACCGCCCCTCATTCACATTGACTACTTCTAGCTGTCATCATGAAAGCTTATTCAGATGATGCTAAACGTTTAATTAGAAATGTGTTGAATTTTTTTTAAAAAGAGAGCAGACGTAGCAAACCGATTTATAAGGTGTCGGATTACATGAAACGTACAACTTTTGCTCTTGGCATGAAAAAGAACATCGTGCTAAAAATTGTGAAAAATAAACCAACAACCAATAAACCAACAACCAATAGACAAAACCTTGTACAAAAAGGTAGGCATCCAAAGTTAGATTCTTTTGACATCAGGGTCATCAGAGATGTCATTCGCCGGCTATTTGCAAAATTTAAAGATTTTAACCTACAGAATAATTCTCACTAATGGGTTTTGTGGTTAATGTTGAACAACTCGGAGAAACAAACTCCGTATGATGGTTAACAATTGGCACCCACCTTACCTTATTCACGACCTGTGACACCTCTTCATACCTGTCACGTGCATAGCTGACCTACATTGACGAACGTTGACCTTTATGACCCAACACTGCCGCTGTTACAGGTCATTGGCTCCCTCCCTCTGCAAGCATTCTGCGTTCTGCTGTTTATTTTGTTGACACTTACATAGACAGATTCTTTAATACAAATGCATAAAATCGGTGATTTACAATGTGATTAGGTTGTCTGACAAAACATCCACTTGCACAGTTTGAGATCGATTGGGTCATTGGATGAAGAGATATTTACAAAAAACCGGGTCCACATGCATTTCATGCCAAACTATAGGTGTAACCGATAGTTGGTTTCATTTCGTGTAATTTATTGATACCTACTTGGGTGTCCCACTTCTTTTGCATTAGAGCTCGGATATATGATCTAATCACGGCTTTATAATCAGAATATGGAATAAGAAGTGGTGTCACAGGTTTATTTAGTGCTACCTTAGCAGCAAAATCGGCCATTGTGTTACCAGAGATTCCCACATGGCTGCGTAACCAACAAAAGACGATGTCGCATTGGCCAGTAGCAAGCTCATTGTATAATTCTATTATTTCAATTAAAAGTGGATGTTGAGAAGACAAATTTTTAATATCCTGAAGGCAAGAAAGAGAATCTGAAAATATTATGTATTGTTTATATTTAGGTTGTTTATTAACATATTTAAGAGCTGTGAGTATGGCATTATCTTCCGCTGTGAAAATAGAGCTGTTGTCAGGTAATCTAGCAGATATTATTCTGGATCCAATAACAATGGCACAAGCCACTGCGCCACCATCCTTGGGCCCATCTGTAAATAAGGATTTGTATGTATCATATTTACTTTTTAACTGATTAAATTCTTGTTTATGGTGTAAGTCATTTGTATCTGATTTTTTAAATGCTGTCAGTGTTAGGTCAACTTGTGGCCTGACCAATTGCCAAGGAGGGAAGGAGAAATACTTTCCAGCTCAATGCCAGCAGCAGAAACGAATGGTTTAATTCTTATCCCAAGAGGCGAAACAAGAAGACTTTTTGTTGTACAGATCCTCATAACGAGGATTAAAAACAGTTATATGGAGGGTTGGACTCACTAGAATACAGTTTTGTGATATGCTGTAACGATAATTTTATACGGCGTTGTTTGAGAGATGGCTCATCAGCCTCTACAGAAAGACTGTCAATAGCAGAAGTTTGGAAAGATCCAACACAGAGACTGAGACCTTGGTGATGAACAGAATATAATAATTTAAGATTGCTCTTGACGGCTCCAACATAAATGATGGAACCATAATCGAGTTTAGAAGGGACGAGTGATCTGTATAAGTGAAGGAGGGTTGACTGGTCCCCTCCCCACTTGGAGTTTGAAAACAACCTTTAATAAATCGAGTGCCTTCAGACATTTAGCTCTCGGAGATTTAATTTGTGGTAAGAAAGTAAGATGTTGGTCAAATATTATTCCCAGAAATTTAGCTTCTTTACAATTTTAATTGGAGTGCCTGCTAGATGCAATACTGGGTCAATTTGATAGGAAGTGAGAGGGAGCTGAAAGAAGAACTTGGAAAGATAAACAAAGAAAGGTGCACGGTCTAATGCTTAGAAAAAGGACAGAATAAATCTTCAACCCGCTGCTGCATGAAGCCTTTATGCAGAAGAAAGCTTGAAACTTGATAACCAAGGTCTGCATACCTTGTTTTGTGAGAGAAGACATTCTAAACGGCAGACGTATCACTTAAGTATCCTCTAGTTCAAATGACCTCACAGCATTGACTCCAAACCATCTTCTCTTCTGTAACTCGGACACTTAGAGTCTTTGACAAAAAATAACATCTACCGAGGACGTCGATGACGACAAGCTCAATATCTTGTTGACACATTTTGTAAGATATTGCCTTATAATTTATCATTAAGTCAGTGCCTTCAGCTTTGCACCCACCTGATATTTTCAGGTCTGAAATAATGGGAAGGTTTGTGACTTTGTTTCCTTTGTCACTGAGATATGAACATTGTGTTGATGGATCAATTAAAGTGGATGACACCAGGTGTTCACGAAAGCACCAATTGCTGGCTATGCTTGTTGTATGACGTACCTCCAGTGTTAGAACGTAGATCGTGAAGCTCCTCCGCTGTGGAACCATACACTTGCGACGCATCTATGTAAGCCGTGACCTGGTTCAGTTGTTCTGCTGGAGCTACAAGATGATGACAGGGTAGAGTTGGATCAAGGACATGTACCGTGAATTGGGGGATTTAAAGAAAACTCCACCTCGTATATGGAGTGAGTGAGTGAGTTAATATTTAACGTCACACCGGCAATATTGCAGCCATATCGTGACGAACCTCGTATATGGAAGATTCACTCACATTATGATTCATAGATCATCTCGCGCAGTATTTAGTGGAAACAGTGTTGATGCATTAGTTTCACCAATTACTATGGACTTTACATTACAAACACGATTTGGCGGCGAGTTCGATTTTCATATACACCATAATAGACAATCTATTATACTCATTTGGCTCTTAACCAAAGCCCAAACATGCATGAAATTCTTAACATATTACGCTCACACCTTCAGAGTATCTTTGAACTTAGTACACCTAAACCGCTCTTGAATCTGAGTGTTGTTGTAAACAGGTTGGAATAGTCCCACATGACGTCATCATCGAACACCTGGCTGACCTCATTTCACAGGGGGCAATGACCGCGTACCCGTGGGAAACGGATCCGGCGTGACATCATAGCATCACACCATGACATCACGCCATTATTTTGGACCAATCAGCATAGAGCAACTATCGATCTCACTGTACCACTGACCACAAACTAGTTTCATCCAGTTTCAATTCTACCTATATAAACCCCCTCTGATAGTGAGTTGAGGTTATCACTAACTACATGTCTTTTTACAAAATGTTTATATTTTCCATGCTCAATAACCTTTTCTGTCGCCCGTGGAGAAAATCTGATATCTCAAATCTCAAAGCGTGCGCCATTGAGGCATGGTGAATTAAACTCGCTGCTTCCACACTTCCCTCGTCTCACTCAGCCATGGTGCAATATCATACCTCCTCAAGTTGTACTCAAAATCGTTGGTCTAACATTAGCCTGTCTCACGGTTCCTGAACCATATTGTTTTCCCTACAGCCTAGCCCTCCCTGCAGTGCTAAGGCTCTAAATGAAGTCTAAATGCTAATTTCTAGGTGGAATTAGCAGCCCATGAATTACTCCCTACTCTCAAACTAAATAGTATGATTTTGTATTGAATGAATGCATCATGATAAGACAATACTTGATGTATTTTAAAACCAAAAACATCCATAAATAAAATGCTACATGCTCGTTAGAATCAACACTAGCTAGGGCGTGTCAGCTTTGACTGTAGAAATGTGCGTTCTCATCATGGGGATTGTACATCATATTTAGGAATGTAACTTTCATGGAATTCATCTAAAATTCCATCAGGAATGGGGTGTAATTGTATAGTGTTAGCATGAAAGAGTGATACATGTATGAATGACAACGCACTGATGTATATTATTATTATATGGGTATTTATATAGCACTATAGTCCATCCCACATGCATGCTCAAAGCGCTGGTAAATTTTTCCTTGGATGTCAATCATAGCCATATTACCATTCTCAACTCCCCAGGGAGTGTCTTGCTGCCACTAGGCGCACCAAGTTAATGTGGTTTTCCCATCCTAACGAGGTATACATGACAAAAAACAAGATTTAGGATAGGAGCGCTCATAGACGTCTACTTTACATCTGTTGTGAATTGTCTTATTGCCCCTCCTCAACATCCTGTCCAGATACTTCGCTCTCAGATGTCATGTCTTCATCATCATCTTCAGTCAAGCCTTCGACCCAAGACTTACATTTGTACTGATTGGAAAACACATCATGATACATATTATTCATGTCTTGTACTTGTTTCAGTATTCCGTGTGTCTTTGGACCCCACTGCATATGATACAGATAAGTAATAAATCTTGCATACGTCTCTTTAAACATGCTCCAAATTAATTTCTTGAGTTTGGCTTGTATCATGTCTTCGTTTCATGTACAGCTGTCGTTTCTCATCCAAAGTCTTTATTCAGCTCACGTGTACGTGAATTCATTTGTCTTATACCTTGCTCTTCGAGATCAGCCATCTTATTTTTCCTGTTGCCGTGTGTGACATCGCTTATGATTCATCATCATCATCATCATTTTCCATTTCAGGACATTGTTTATCGTGTAAATGTCTTTGTAAGTTATGGTTATTGCTAAACACTTCACCACAATAGTCACAGTCCACCAGAAGACGTGGTCTCTTTACAGCAGAGAAGTTGTCATCTTCCTCCCACATCCTTTTAACTTGGGGTATCCCCCGTGGACCCACTGAGGACTTTTCTTGACACCTTTTTCTGTGTTTTTGCAAATCATGCATGTCTTGAAACACATTCACCACATTCTTCCAAAGACTCAGTAGTACTTTCTGATGAATGTGGTTGTACATGTTGCTGCTGCTGCTGCTGCTCTTGTTGTTGTTGCTGCTGCTGGAAATCTTCTCCTGAATGTTTTGTACGAATATGAAGGGACAAGTCATGAGCCCACACATTGTTTGGAGCATACGGGACAGGGATGCATAATGATGTTCACACGTCGACAGTCCTACCACAAATGACACATTTAGCCTTTGTCTCTATTGAAAAATCTTTCTTCATTCGCTTTGTTGACACTGCTTCCATTGTGTTTTCCCTACAGCGACACTTTTTCTTTCTTCAACTTGGCTTTAGCCTGTTGAACGACTTGCTGGGTGGGAGACGTGAGAGCAAACGTGTCTGTAGAAGGGGGTAGGTCCATCTTGACCCCTTGCTTCTCGTAATAGATCACATAATCATCAACGTTAGTAAAGGGATTGGGACATCCTTTAGCCTGCAAATAGTAATATTTGGTCCATTTCTTAGGGTCGTCCAGATAGGGTCTCCAGTATCTCCTGTTCATTTTCTTGTTCCAGTCGAATACTGACTCTCACACAGAGGTTTCAGATGAAGTGTCACTATCACTGGTCCACGGCTAAATGAAGCTAAATCACCGTTTCTGTCCTTTATATAGATATCCACAGTCTGTACATTTTTTTCAGTTTGATGGGTACATAGACATCTCTTAAGGAGGAGGACCACGTTAACTATAAGTGACACATAATGGAAGACATATCTATACACTAGCATATCGTTTAACCTTGGGTTGAAAGTAAAACGATTCAGAATATGATTCAGTGAATGTCCTCTGGCTTTCATCATCACATAAAACAAAGCATACAGTCCACGAGTTTTACTGTTTTTACTTTGAAACATCCGTGTATTGCGTTGGAAAGAAGCACCATTCCTTTGTAGAAATGTGTGGAATGTCCTTTGATAATACTCAGGCTTTCTTACCAAACTGTCAAAAAATTCTCTGCGTTTTGAACTTGCATCCAAATAGCTATCCAGTGTTGTCCAGATTGACGAGAGGCTTGGTTATTCAAAATGTATCCTTTGGGATATGTGGATATGGTCCGTGGTAACTGATCGGCAGCAAGCACTTTGATTTTCATCCCTTTAGTAACACTGTCTTTGTTCCAATGGCATTGTAGTTGTCGTGTATTCATGGTGTTGCTAATGTTTCATGCTTCGTTCACTTAAAAATCAACTGATCCTCGCTGTAAATGAGACAGTTGATACCTTCCGGAAGAGCTGACTTAAAATGTAACTCCTTTTAAGGTATTCAAACAGTTCCCCTCTACGCGTTTGGGTTCCAGCGTAAATTGATAAATAGCATATCCCTTATTGAAATCTTTTCTTTTACTGGGAAAGTTCCGTTAATAATGATAACATTATTTTTCCCACGGTCAGCTCAGTACAAGGTCATTGATCCCTGTGAAATGAAGTCAGCCAGGTGTTCGATGATGACGTCATTTGGGACTATTCCAACCTGTATACGACATGTGAGCATGAAATACTCCCACCGCCCATGAAGCTGTGCACCTATCTACCCCCACCTTCTCTTCATACAATTATCCTCGCCATGTATTTCACTCCCATATTCTACGTATCTCTAAACCTGGAAGCGAATGGTGATGTGCATCATACATTAATGAACCTTAAAGACTATTACTAAGATCCAAATTGTAAACTTTCCTTAAATTATATAATGCGTGAAAAACATTTTTTATCGTCTTATCTTCACCCGCCCACTTTCTCTTCGCTTGATGTGCGGGGCGGTGGTGTAGTCTAATGGTTAAAGCGTCCGCTCGTCACCCCGAAGACCCGGGTTCGAGACCCAATTTCTGGTGTCCCAGTATCCCATACACTCACATATCATACATATCTCCGAAACTGTTACACCCTGACCTCACATGCACTCTGAACCTGCAAGGCTGTCCTTTTTGCGTTACCCCGCCAACATTTTTCGTTCCGACGAGAAATAATAAAGTTTTATATTTGCCCTGCCGCTGTGTATACTTATTTATTTAGCATTGTAAATTCAAACTGACACAAGTGAGATTAATCTTTCTTCGTGCTCCGTTTTAAATTTCAGGAAAAAAGAATCATTTTTCCCAAACCACCAATATCAGATAATGTTACTCTCCAACCTCCATGAATATCTGAACCTTCTACTCCCCCACCTCCATGCATATCTAATCCTACTCCTCTACCTCCATGAATACCTGATCCTGTTACTCTCCAACCTCCATGAATATCTGAACCTTCTACTCCTCCACCTCCATGCATATCTAATCCTACTCCTCTACCTCCATGAATACCTGATCCTGTTACTCTCCAACCTCCATGAATATCTGAACCTTCTTCTCCTCCACCTCCATGCATATCTAACCTACTCCTCTACCTCCATGAATACCTGATCCTGTTACTCTCCAACCTCCATGAATATCTGAACCTGTTACTCACCAACCTCCATGAATATCTGAACCTGTCACTCTCCAACCTCCATGAATATCTGAACCTGTTACTCCCCCACCTCCAGGAATACCTGAACCTGTCACTCCCCAACCTTCATGAATACCTGATCCTGTCACCCCCACCTCCCTCACACCCTGAACGTATTATACTCTGACACTCGGTACTCACCGATGTCACAGTTTGTGTTGGCAACCTGCACTGACCGGACAAAGTTGAGACATGTGCGGTTGAACCGTCGGTCTCCTGGTGGCACGTCAATGTTGAAGCACTGATGTCTGGCAGATATACAAGAACATTAGATCATTGTATCCACATTTATCATACTCACACTATAGCACATCCTCAGAAATACATAAATATCTACTCCTAAATCATGATGTTAGTAGTTCCAAACCCTACAGCTGGGATATAGATAACATCCAAATAACACTTCTTGGCCATGGAACTGACGTTCTGTTTGAACAAAGTAAAATCATTGTATTGCCTATTCCTGAAATTCTGTTCTGTTCCTATTCCTGAAACGAAGATAGGCACAGATCATGCATCTGAATCCTACATATTTAACCTTGTATATATTAAGTGTCATACCGCAAATGTTTATCAAAGGGTTTTCATGTTTACATATCAACATTTTTATTCAAACCTGTATGTTTTCTTTGTGCAAATAATCCCTAATCATCTTTACTGAAATATGTTCATGGTAGTTCGCTCTGTCAAGGATTAATCTGCTTTCTGCTTACAGGTACCTCTTGAGATGCAAGACAGCAGGTACCTCTTGAGATGCAAGACAGCAGGTACCTCTTGAGATGCAAGACAGCAGGTACCTCTTGAGATGCAAGACAGCAGGTACCTCTTGAGATGCAAGACAGCAGGTACCTCTTGAGATGCAAGACAGCAGGTACCTCTTGAGATGCAAGACAGCAGGTACCTCTTGAGATGCAAGACAGCAGGTACCTCTTGAGATGCAAGACAGCAGGTACCTCTTGAGATGCAAGACAGCAGGTACCTCTTGAGATGCAAGGTTACAAGTAGCTCTAGGCGAGATGCAAGGTTACAAGTACCTCTCGGTGAGATGCAAGGCTACATGGGCATGCTAACGAGATTCAAGGTTACAGGTACCTGCTAGCAAGATTCAAGGTTGAGGAGTAGGAGTCGTCTTTGACATCATCCTTACAACAAGTTATGGCAGCTCCGTCAGAGCCTGTAGAATCATAAGAGTTATGTCAACATAGTATAGCTGTAATACCGCTGAAACAAATATATGCTCATGATATAGTCACAATTGTACAATCGACAATGCCTTCTTATAAATGTGGAAAGTTATTGTCGCTTCTATCAAAAGATTTACCATAGGACTATTCTTTCTAGAAATGACGTCAATACACATTTCCACATCTATTGCGTGCTCATTAGGACGCCTATATATTTCTAGTAATTTGTTTTGCCCCTTAGTGAGTTTAGTTTTATGCCGCACTGAGCAATATTCCAGCGGTCTGGAAATAATCCAGTCTGGACCAGACAATCCAGTGATCAACAGCATGAGCACCGATGTGCGCAATTGGGAACCGATGACATGTGTCAACCAAGTCAACGAGCCTGACCACCCGGTCCCGTTAGTCGCCTCTTACGACAAGCATGGGTTACTGAAGGCCAATATTCTAACCCGGACCTGCACGGGTCTGTTTTGCCCCTGAATTTAATTAGATATCACTGATAACGCCCAGCAGTTCGTATGTTTTCTCAGTAGACGTCATGTGACTCTTGCTTTCATTTTTGACTAGCTACTAGAGATTTATATATTTGTATATATACTCGCCACGTTTGTAAACAAAAGCCACGTGGATTAAGGAATGGAGTTTTACATGTGGGATAGTGATGTTCTACATTTAAAAATCAGATGTTGTGACTGAACAAAACTGATTCCGTTGTGATCCCTTGGTTTTAAAGAATCTATATCGTATAAATTCCGCCTTAAACACTTTTTGTGAATGTAAATACAATCCTTATCATATCAGAAGGCATTGTGTAAAATGCACCTTTACCGAACCTTTAACAAACCAGTAGTTACAATTTCGGCTCACCTCGTTCAATAGGGGTATTGCTGATGTCATGATCCAGGAACTGACCCCACTGCATGACCATGTGTGTGACGTCACTCTCTGGCTTGGCATTGACGTCAGAGGTGTGAAGGGTGGTGCATACAAGACGTGGACTTGCAAGTGGGCTTCCATAAATTCCGGTAGTTCGGGGCGATAATATACCTGCAATCATATATAAGCAAATGTTTGGAACGCCTCGTCAGCTTTACGTGGGAGGAAGGGCGGTGGGGTAGCCTAGTGGTTAAAGTGTTCGCTTGTCACGCCGAAAACCAGAGTTCGATTTCTCACATGGGTACCATGTGTGAAGCCCATTCTGGTGTCCTCCCTTGTGATAGTGCTGTAATACTGCTAACTAAACCACTCAGTGATGTGGGAGGAACACCAGAAATGGGATTCAAAACCACAATGACATGTTTTTGGAGTGCCAAAGGGATGCAACTGTCTCATCAGTGATATGCGGCGCCTTAGACAAGTGCAAACCGAGCTAACACATGGAAATAAATACGTAATTTTCAAGTAAAATTGATATTTTTATACTTATCATGATCTTTTGCTTATCTCCCTTTTCATTTTCGAATGGTAGTGGAACACTTGAATCTCTTGAAGTTCCCGAAGCGGACGCCATGTGACCAGCCTTACTTGTCACTCTCATATGATTTTCTGCCCATGCACTTGGATCTGCTGTGAAATCCAAAATGTCTCCAGCGGGGAGGTTAGGAGAGCTTCTCGCCATGAGTCAGGATAAGTATAAAAATATCAATTTTACTTTAAAAAATTACATATTTTTTCTTATCCTGACTCATGAGCTTTTGCTTATAGAATCCGACGGATTGGTGGTGGGTGAAGCCACTTCGTGGATTCATCAGCTGTCCTTAAATACGTCCTGTATCTCTTTTCCCCCCCCACCCCCACCCCGCGAAACGGCAGTTCCGTGATCCTATTCTTCCAACTTCCGTTATAACTCGGGTGGACCACTTTCTTGTCTTACTTCAGTCTCAGACAAGTTGAATCATGTTGATTCATGTGGCTACAGATAAACTAGTATCTTCTTGTTACTAGATATCTCATAACCCATAGATTATGATAAGATCTTTATCATAAATGAGTTGCGATCCCTCCACGTACAGGTAAGCTCTTTACCCGTACAGGATCTTTAATCACTCATGCTAGCCTGTTCTAGACTGTGTGCATGGACTTTCAACCTAATACTTTTTCCTTAGTATAAGTTATCAACAAGTCAATGTGATAAAGGGTGAGATTTTCCAACTCAGCGCCTTTGAGGAACCGTTAGTTGCTGTGCTACAACAAGAGGCCCAAATTGGTGAATGCCTGAGACGTCTTCAGTGGCTATGTCTCTGAGAAAGTGGTTGGCAAACACCGTGCCCGACTTCCAAAAGCAGCCCTCCATAATTGCTGGTATAGAGCAATTTCCGTGCAGAGCCAGTGTTGACACCAGTGCTCTGACTTGGAAGCTCTAGGAGGTTCTAGTCCTGCTGCTTTATAGGCTCTCAATATGACAGCTCTCATCCAGAACGATATGGTCGTTCTCTAGACTTCTGCCGATGTCTATTGATAATGGGATGAGCAGGCGCTTGAATTTTTGTCTCCTTGTCTCAGTCTTTTGAAGATGTACCTTCAGGGCTCTGACCTGACACAAGGATAAGTCTTCTATATCCTCTGGGCCAAGGATTGTAGATAGCGCTGGTACGTGGAACTGTATCTGGCTGACCAGGTAGTTGGTTCTTGGCAATGAAGTCCCATTTAAGTTCTAGATGAACTGCAGCATGTTGCTCCGTGTCGAATCTGGTTCGACCAAAGTCCAGCGCATGTATCTCTGATTTTCAAGCTGCCGTGGCTAACGCAAGCAGAAACAGAGTCTTCTGTGTCAGCAGCTCGAAGGTAGTCTGGTCTATAGGTTCGTAGGCATCACTCATAAGATGACGTAGAATTACATTCAGATCCCAGACCGGAGCTCTGAACTTCTTTGCTGGTCCTCCAGTTTAAAAGATCTCAGCAGAGCAAGTAATTCTGGTACTTTCGTCAACTTGATGCCTGTTTTCATGGTAATCACTGTACTGATGGCGGCGAGGTATGTAAATAATGTCGAACCTATGAGATGTCTGGTCTGTCTAAGATGAAAGATATTCCGCCACTTGAGGATAGGTAGCTTTCATCGCAGTGAAGCCTTTCCGCCTTGCATAAGTCTCAAAACTTCAGCCATTTGTCATCATACAGGTTACGAGTCGATCTGCGTAACGCTAGCGTTACTGCCTTGGCTGCCCTGGTGGAGTATCCTCTTTTCTTCAAACATGTTTGGATACGGTCCACACGTGTAACTGGAATGCTGTCGGGTTCCCGTGGACTTGCTTGGTGTGCGGATGTATGAGTAGGTTCGGCCAATCTGGTAACTTGATTGCTGGACTTCCGAGATCTATTAGGTCTAGGAACCATACTCTCGCTTGCCAGTTTGGCGTGATCAAAGTCAGTTGTAGCGCCTGTGTCTGTTTGATCTTCAACAGTACTTCCGGAAGTAATATCGGGGGTGGAAACGCATAAGCGTTTAGTCCTTCCCAAGATATGCTCAGAGCATCTGTTGCCCAGGCTTGAGGATCTGGAACTGGTGAGACAAATGTCTGTAGTTGTTTGTTGAACCTCGTGGCAAACAGGTCTATGCAAGGGGGATCCTATTTCCCTCATGATGAGCCGGAACGCTTCTGGATGGAGCATCCATTCCGTAGGTGAATAGTGCAGTGGTCGGGAGAAACGTCTGCAAGTACGTTCTTGGCTCCGGGTATGTGACACGCCTTTATCCAGATGTTTGCTTCCATGTAATGTGGAACAACTGGAATGCGAGCTGTAGCAGGCTTGGAGACGTTGTGGATCCTTGCTGATTTATGGAGAATGCCACTGTAGAGTTGTCCGTGTAGAATATCAGCATTCTGTTGTTCAGCGAGCTCGACCATAGTTGTAAGGCGTTGATCACAGCTTTCATCTCCAGCAGTTTGATGTGAAGATGCTGCTCTATTTTGGACCACCTTCCTGATGCAACTTGATTGTTTAGATGCGTACCCCAGCCCTGCATCGAAGCGTCTACGTAGAGATGTGTTGAAGGCCGCCTCTTGTAAATAGGTCCCTCTGCAAACGTCCGACCTGTGCGTCCACCACGGTAGATACCTCTTGAGGTTGTCTGGCAGCAAGATAGGGTCGACGCTGTCTAGATGTTTTGTCAGGAACCGTTGCAGTGGTCTTAGTTGTAACCTTCCTGTGCGAGTGAAGTCCTGCGCCGAGGTTAGTTGACCGAGTAGAACTTGCCATGATCGTAGTGTGAAGGGAGAGATGACTGCTGGTGGAATCATGGCTTGCATCTTGTCCCAACGATCTTCTGGGACGACAATACGATTCTGTGTTGTGATAAACCTTATCCCCAGAAATTGCGGATCTTGTATTAGTTCCAACTTCATAAGGTTCACCAGCCATCCTAGTTGAGTGAGCAACTTGATCGTGAAGTTCAGCTGAATTCCGTTGTCCAAGTAGAATGCATTGCGTAGACCTCTGTTTTCAGCAGATAGTCTTTGTTGAATTTGCACATGTTGTAAATCAGTCTGAACTTCTCGTTGGAGTTCTTCGTGGGTACTAGAAAACTTGGGGAATAGAAGCCTGGAGTGAGATGGTGCTGATCTATTATCTCTATCGCCTCCTTCAAAAGTAGTGAGTCGATGGCTTCTTGTAGTTTGCCTGTTCCTCTGCATAGTTAAAGACCATCGGGTTGAGGGTTAGCGGAGGTGTGGCCTTGAGTTGTACTCTGTATCCTTCTCTTAGTACTTGGGAGACGTAGTCGTCCTCTAGTATTCCCCAATTTTTCCAGTACCTTTGTATACGTCCACCCACTGTTGACGGTTTTACAGAAGCGGCTGGGGGTGGAAGACTCCAGTCGTTCAAAGTCTAGTTCCTCTGGATCCTCTGGGAGTGCGGCCTCTCCCTGAGTTTCCTCTGTAATTTCCGGATGGGCGACGAAAAGATCCTTTGCCGCCTCTGAAGCTGGGGTACTTCTCCTTTACCTTCTGTATGCCAGAATATTTGGACTTTTGCGAAGTATGACGGATGACGTTGGCCAGAGTATCTATGGATTTTATTATCATAACTTTCTCTCGAGTCGTGCATAGCTTCCTTAGCTGCATCGTCTATTTGTCCTCCAAAGATAGTAGGCGCCTCCCATGGAGCTCTCAGAGGCGGTTAGATGAATCTATCACTCCATGAACAGGATGCAAGTAGCCCTCGTGTGCGTAGTAAAGTGAGACCTGCAGATATAGATGCCAGATGGTCCGATAAAAAGTATTGGTCCTTCTTCTGTGTTATGAGGGCCGATTATATCATTCTATCCTCTTCTGAACTTGAGCTCTGGAATTTATTGATCAATGCTTCATTGATGGCTCTGGACCTAGCCAACCCGAAGAAGGATCGCCTTGTAGCAGTATCAAGTTGAGATACTTTATCTTCCACAATACATCTTGTTTAGGCACCCATTCAGGCGCCTTTGTAAATGGATCCATATGATGTAAGGGGAATGTTTTCACTTTAAATGATGGCAGATGCTGACTCTGGTACTTGGATGTTTTCGAGAAAGCTGTGCGTAGGTTAGAGGGTACCTTGGATATAGGTTCATTTGGAGGGATAGTGACAGAGTCAAAGTTGTCGTTACGCATCATATAAGTGTAGACTTCATCTTTATCCTTAGGAGACTCCAAGTTCAACCCGTTGGCAATCCACGCTGTAACCTCTGAGTCTGGGAAGACGAAGTCTGCTTGCTGATCCAAAGTCTCCTGATTATTAGTGCCAGGGAATCCGACTCATCCATCTGCGAACCTGTATCCCTTCTCGAACCTTCATCATCCTTTCGCGAACATCTATCTGAAGATTCCTCCCTATGCGAACGTCTATCTTGAGAGTGCTCTCTTCGCGAAACTCTATCTGTAGATTCATCTTTTCACGAACCTCTGTGTGAGCTATCCCTTCGCGAACTTCTGTGATGTGAACCTTCTCTTCGCGAACCTCTGTCATGATGAGTGACTTCTCTAACGTCTGAGATATATGAGATCTCGATCTAGAGCGGCTAGGTGTAGGAGATGGGTCCTTCAATGTTCTCGAACTTTGAGGGTTCGCGGACGTAGAACTGAGTAGGCATCTCATCTCTTCTATCCTCTTCTATGATGACAATTGTCCGACTGTTGGACGACGTGGCAAAGGTGTTCGTTCGCCAACGTATTCTTTAGATGTAGTTCTTCGAGGAGTAGGTTTGCGCAGGTCCGTAGGTTTGCGCACGTGTCGGTAGATGAGAGGCTTCGCCGAGCCTTCGCTTCTTCCTCGAACCTACGTTCCATCATGGCCATTATCTGGTTGGTGAATTGTCTCATAAATTCGCCCGGGTCAAAGTTCTGCGTTGGTTGAAGATGCTGCGGTGTAGACGAAGTGTTCGAGAACGCTGATGAGTTCTGCGCCTCAACTTCACTCCGTTGAGAAGTAGGTGGTAGTTTGTCAAACAGCTGGCTTGCTGTGACCGTTGCAGGGGACGGTCTAGTAGTTGTAGAAGTCGATTGAGTCGCTGATCTCATAGGTACTTCGGGTAGAAGTAACGGGGGTCATCAAAAACGTCTACTTCATGTGGAGGTAATATCTCTTCGTTGATGGATTTTTGATGCGTTGACTTAGTAGGCTGTGTAGATTTACCCTCCGATCTGGTAACAGATGCTTTCTTCTGTGATGTAGAAGAAGATGACTTCTTTTTCTTAGCTTGAGTCGGAGTCAACTGCGTTGTAGCCGATCTCTTCTTGGCCCCCGTACCAGCAGACTGCCCCTGCAACGCACTAAACAGCACCAGTATTATGAACTTCAGCAGTAGCAAGCAACATACGGTTTGAAGGCTGATCTCGTGTTTTATCAGCCGTGACTTGAGATGACTTCCTCACCCGATCTATGGCACGTCTATAGATATAAGACAAATATAGATTAAATTTAAGATTTGATACATCAACACAATATGTAAAGCGCAAGCTGGAAGAACATGGTTTTATGCATGAAGAGCACTGGGGGTGAGGATCAGCCACGGATAACCTGTACCTGCAAACACTGCAAGATTTCATGAAATGTAAACAAAGTTACATAACGATGACATAAAGACACAAATACAAATACTTTTTAAAAACTTTTTACATATAATACATAGTAGTTATTGCCAAATCCGTATAAAGCGTAATTTTGAAGAACAGGACCTAAATAAAAAGGATATAATGCCGTATAAGGGCTCCAGTGAGAGTGATAAGTAAGGCTGGTCACATGACTGTTTGCGCGGGAAAAGGGCAAAAGGCAGGTAACTCGTGGGTTAGTGTATTTTTACGTCCGCTTCGGGAACTTCAAGGGATTCAACTGCCATTCGAAAAGGAAAGGGAGATAAACAAAAGATCATGAGTCAGGATAAGAAAAAAATTAATTGTACATTTGTAACCATGTGATTGAAAGACGCTAAAGAACTTGACACGCACCTCCAAAGTACACAACTGTTTTGAGGACTAAATACAGGCATCTCAGAACATTGGCATAAGAATATCAAGGGAATTACGTTTATCCCCATTGCAGGCTTACACATATAATCAGAGTGAGTGAGTGAGTGAGTATGGTTTTACGCCGCTTTTAGCAATATTCCAGCAATATCAATAATGTGGGCTTTTCTGCGTTTTTCTAGCACAGTGGGACAGTTTTCTTTGGTAGGCCTGATAATGACACTGTTTGACTTTCGTAGATCAAATTACGTTTGGCATTCGCAACACACGAAATAGGTAAACTATTAAAGAAAGATTATGCACCAAATCATTACTCACCATCGTCATATAGTGGTTGAAGGAACCTCCTCATTGGGATGAAGCTCTTTCCCCAGTCAGGATGTCGGATGTTGTTACAGCTGCCGTCTGCTGTCCGGAATTTGCCAGTGTTGGTGCAAGTCAAGTCGCTGCCACACTTGTCACTGAGAACATTGGCATCATTTACTTGTACAGATTAACGTTCGCTATCAGAAGCCCGAGTTCTCTTGATTCAGGCGTATGGACGCAACACAACGGCATTCTTGTCACACGCTTGTCGTTGTCACGTGTATAGCTTAGGGATTTTCAAATGATTTTTCCTAAACATTTTAATAGCATTTAACTTTTTTCTGAAGGAACTGATATATTGTGTCACTGCTGCTTGTCAGTGGTGCTTACAAATTCCTAAACCTAAACGTTGAAGTGTAATTATTTGTTGTTTAACGCCGCACTCAGCAATATCCAAGGTATATGGCGGCGGTCTACAAATATATCGAGTCTGGACCAGACAATCCAGTGATCAACAGGATGTGCATCGATCTACGAAGTTGGGATAAGATGACGTTATGAAGATGCGTTTTTTCTTAATTAAAATATCATTGATAAACTTTCAGTTATTATGGGTCACAAAAGTTTATAGCGCTGTGTGTGATTTGAGTGAGTTTAGTTTTACGCCGCACTCAGCAATATTCCATCTATATTGGCGTCGGTCTGTAAATAATCGAGTCTGGACCAGACAATCTATTGATCAACGGCATGAGCATCGATCTGCGAAATTGGGAACCGATGACATGTGTCAACCAAGCCAGCGAGCCTGACCACCCGATCCGGTATGGGACTGGCGTTCTTTCGAGTGAGTTCTACATGATCGAAGTGTGATCTACATGGCCTTAGTGAGGCGTAGCTACTGCTAGAATTCTCGAGAACTCTGATTGATGGCTGAGATCGACGGGACTGTTGAGACTGCTTTGGATTTACGCTCACCTGTCTGTTAACATCGTCCGCTCACATTGTTTCAACTGCCGTCAACAATCTCTAATCCGTACATCGACAAGAATCAAGACTGCAGTAATTATAAACATTTAATAACTATTTTTGATTTGTGACTCAATAGTATTGTAATATAAATCTGTATTGTCATTCATTGTAACCTTGCTCATTGTTTATTCAATATATTATTAAATATTATAGACTTGTCTGTTTTCTATTTTGCTGGTTTAAAGGAGACTCTCAAGACTTTTTTGTCACGGTCATTTCTAATCTATGGATGACGATATGTCCGGACAAAACAGGGGTGTGTTTGACGCAAGCCCTCTGATTGGTCAACGCTTGCAAATCTGCACATTCTTTGTAAATTCCCTAGAATTTTTCCTTTCATCGACTGCTTAATGTAAGAATACTTTTCGAGAAATGACTTCTGAAAGAATGTATCTAGTTGTAAATGTCTCCTTCACAAGCATCAACCAACCAGAGGGCTTGCTTCGACCACACCCCCATTTTGTCCGGACATATCGTCATCCATTTGTGTCAAGATCGTTTAGTTGAGGGTCAAACTCTGGTTTTAATCGACTTGCAGAAATAACAATAAAGAATTGGTAGGTGTCATGAGTGGTGCTCGATAGGCCAATCATCCATGATTATGTTTACATTACTTTTAATCCATTGCATGCGATGGTAGAGTAGCGATCGGCAAAGCAGGCGGGTGGGGGTACACCGAAGTGTCCGGCCTTGTCATAATGTATTGTACTGTGAGGCATTTCGACTTGGGGGTCATCTCAATTTTTTAATATTTTTTCAAAATCTTTAATCCTCGCAAAGACACGAGGGCCTGTGACCCGATCCCGTTAGTCGCCTCTTACAACAAGCATAGTCTCTTTTTGTGGCAAGCATGGGTTGCTGAAGACCTATTTTACCCCTGATCTTCACGGGTTTATTAGATTAGAACTAACATTAATTATTTTCATCTTCTTGTAGTGGAGGACCCGTGAAGATCCAGGTTAGAATTGGTTTTCAGTAACCCAAGCCTGTCAAGGGCGACTAATGGGATCGGGTGGTCAGGCTTACTGACTTGGTTGGCACATGTCATCGTATCCCACCTGCGTAGTATGAAGCTCAGGCGGTTAATCACTGGGTTGTCTCGTCCAGACTCGATTATTTACAGACCGCCGCCGTATAGCTGGAATATTGAGTGGGTCGTTTATCAATCAGCCAGTTAATTAATCTTGTGAAGGGCCTACCTCAGAACTTCTTTATCCGTAGAATGGACGTGTAAATCCTCCAGAAGCTTCTTCCTGTATATCTTAGCGAGCTTTATTGCCTTCGGTTTTGTTGCGATGAACACCGCGTGCTGTTCTGCTGCTGATTTCCCACCGAGTTTGTCAATGCCTGCAAAATGGCAGCTGCATAGGTGCAATGCGAAAAACACATATTTAGCTTTGTAAAACCCCGCACTCAGTTAGCCTCAGTGTCTGTAAAAAATGAAGCCTGGACCAGATGAGCCAGTGAGTTATGTTTTACGCCGATTTTAGCAATATTCCAGCAATATCACGGCAGGGGACACCAGAAATGGGCTTCACACATTGTACCCATGTGGGGAATCGAACCCGGGCCTTCGTCGTGACGATCGAACGCTTTAACCACTAGGCTACTCTACCGCTCCACATGAGCGAGTAACTGATATCATAAGCATCAACCTAGGCTATGGGTATACGATGACGTGTGTAAACCAATTAGTGATCCTGGCCATCCGATCCGGGCTATCGCCTCGAACAAGAATAGGTTGTTGGTGGTCAATTCTAACCCGGATCTTCACGGATGATAATTATGCAACATACATAACCCTATGTTAAATTGATGTTCAGCAACCAATTCTTGTTGTAAGAGGTGACTTACTCCATCGGGAGGTCAGGCTCAACTTGGTTGACACATGTTATCGTCAACCAACTGCGTAGATCGATGCTCATACAAGTCACTGACTTGTCTGGCTCAGACTCGATTTTTTACCAGACTTATAGCTGGAACTTTGCCGAGTACAGCTTTAATCAATAAACTTAAATGTCAGTTCTGTCTATTTGCTTGAATCCGCCATATAACTGGAATATTGCTGAGTGCGGCGTAAAACTACACTTGCTCCTGAAAATCTTTGCTTGAACATTTACACACCATACATCAATACATCCTGAATCTGCAGATGTTGAGATTATTCTCTGGTTGCAATGGTACATATTACTCGTTCAGATGGGCATACATATATTCTGCAGTAATTATTATCCATGTGGCGTGTGTCCGTTATGCTGGATACAGGTACGAGCGTTATTCGTTGAGGACGTTATGGCAAAAATGCAGGTACGAACGTTATTCGTTGAGGACGTTATGGTGAAAATGCAGGTACGAACGTTATTCGTTGAGGACGTTATGGTGAAAATACAGGTACGAGAGTTATTCGTTGAGGATACTATGGTGAAAATGCAGGTACGAGCGCTATTCGTCGAGGACGTTATGGTGAAAATGCAGGTACGAACGTTATTCGTTGAGGACGTTATGGTGAAAATGCAGGTACGAGAGTTATTCGTTGAGGATACTATGGTGAAAATGCAGGTACGAACGTTATTCGTTGAGGACGTTATGGTGAAAATGCAGGTACGAACGTTATTCGTTGAGGACGTTATGGTGAAAATACAGGTACGAGAGTTATTCGTTGAGGATACTATGGTGAAAATGCAGGTACGAACGTTATTCGTTGAGGACGTTATGGTGAAAATGCAGGTACGAACGTTATTCGTTGAGGACGTTATGGTGAAAATACAGGTACGAGCGTTATTCGTTGAGGATACTATGGTGAAAATGCAGGTACGAACGTTATTCGTTGAGGACGTTATGGTGAAAATGCAGGTACGAACGTTATTCGTTGAGGACGTTATGGTGAAAATACAGGTACGAGAGTTATTCGTTGAGGATACTATGGTGAAAATGCAGGTACGAGCGCTATTCGTCGAGGACGTTATGGTGAAAATGCAGGTACGAACGTTATTCGTTGAGGACGTTATGGTGAAAATACAGGTACGAGAGTTATTCGTTGAGGATACTATGGTGAAAATGCAGGTACGAGCGCTATTCGTCGAGGACGTTATGGTGAAAATGCAGGTACGAACGTTATTCGTTGAGGGCGTTATGGTGAAAATGCAGGTACGAACGTTATTCGTTGAGGATGTTATGGTGAAAATGCAGATACGAACGTTATTCGTTCAAGATGCTAAGTGAAAATACAGGTACGAGAGTTATTCGTTGAGGATGCTATGGTGAAAAGAACCTGTTTGCGGCATACATGTATAGTGTTTACTTACCGAACTCCAGGAACTTTATGTCTTGCTTTATTTCATCTAAAAGCATCCTCACATTCTTACGTTTGGCTGCAGCGGTCGGAATCAAGGCCACGACACCTACCACGAGGAGGAGGTGGAGCAAAAACCCCATGTCTAGAGACGAAAATACTGGAATACAAAGTTGACCATACATAACATTCATTCACACACACTGTCTCGGGGTTGAGTGAGCGAGCGAGTTTAGTTTTAGCAATATCCCAGCTATGTGGCGGCGGTCTGTAAATAATCGAGTCTGGACCAGACAATCCAATGATCACCAGCATGAGCATCGATCTGCGCAATTTGGAACCGATGACATGTGTCAACCAAGTCAGCGAAACTGACCACCCGATCCCGTTAGTCGCCTCTTACGACAAGCATAGTCGCCTTTTATGGCAAGCACGTGGGTTGCTGAAGACCTATTCTACCCCGGATTTTCACGGTTCTCGAGCGAGTTTAGGTTTACGCCGCTTTTTGCAATATTCCAGCAATACTACGGTGTAACTAGCGAACGCTTTAACCACTAGGCTACCTTATCGCTGGACTCGGGTTCTGTGCATTCATGCTAGGTCTAGATATTATTCATCTATTATCTGGAAAGACTTCCGCCCGTATTCCCCTTTAAATTTCACTCTAGTCAAATCATATCAACTGAATATATATATATACATATATAGGGGTTACAGATGCATAAATCATTTAATCGTTATAAGTCAAACCCCGTCATTAAAACTACTCATTTCGACCCTTAATCAACTTAAATCGACCTTTTTGACAACACTGCACAATTCTCTCCAAATTTCAACCAATCAGAGGGGCGCGTCTCCGTGACGTAATGTGAGGTATTGAAATGAGAGGCACTGTTGAACTTTTTTCTGGTAAATACCACTTTTGAACCAAGTAAATTAGAACTTTTAAATTAATTTTATGCGTTTTAATTGCCGTAAAATATTACACTGCAGTATCTTCCACGGGGAGTAATAACAGTAGTTATAATCCACAGGAGATATTCCTTGTGTGAGATCAAACGTTGTCTTCCAGGAGATATCGTTTTGACAGTAGATTTCGTACAATGCCCTGACATCAATGGATCGTCAATGACGTATTACTTAGAATCTCAACCTCGTGTCTTCTGATATCAATACATGTATATCAACACTCGTTGATAAAAGGAAAACTATCCTCGACAAGCATCGGATATTTGTAACTGTATCAAGTTGTGGTGATATATTTGATATCAATGGACACTCGGGCAAGAGTCTCTATACATTAAACGAGTAAGTAGAAGTTAAATCATCAGTCAATCACTTAGTGAAAATACACAAAATAAACTCTAGATTTGGACAAGATATTCCTGTAACAATACTGACTGAGTTTGGTTTTACGCCGCTTTTAGCAATATTCCAGCAACATCACGGCGGGGGACACCAGAAATGGGCTTCACACATTGTGCCCATGTGGGGATTCGAACCCGGGTCTTCGGCGTGACGAGCCAACGCTTTACCCATTAGGCTACCCCACCACCCCCCTGTAACAATAGAAAACTAAGCTCTGGAATTTTTTTTAATACCGAAGCTGAAAATGTTACGCGTGTATCTATATATAGCTAGATATTCTGAAATGATAAAATCCACAAATAGTCATAGAAACTATATGAAAACTAAAATGCAACAATCAATACATGGCGTTATTTTTTTTAAATGGTAAAAATTTACACAACATTCTGTATGTAAAATAAAAGATCAACCATGATATTAAAATATTATTTTAAAAAGCATACAATGAATATGAATAAGAATAAGTAAAATTTAAAAATTCTAATTTACTTGTTTCAAATGTGCTAAATACTAGTTTCAAAAGTGGTAATTACCAGAAAAAAGTGGTTATTACCAATTTTAAAACAGAAAATTACAACAAACATTTTTACCCCTCTGGGCTTTTACAGTAAACAGTTTTCTTACCTTCTGCCCTGCTTGTTTAAGGTTATGTGTGACTTCGAATCGGCTGCCATTCAATTATTCTGGCACCGACGATCAAATCGCACAAGAATCCCGTGCAGTATGCGCTAATTGAAAAGAAACGTCACCATCGAGCAGTTGAACGCACTGCATGAAATGTCTGTGCTTCATATTTGTTTTGTCATTTATTCTGGGCCAGGTCAACGCCGCAACAGTTCGAAGACAAGGTGAAACACCCGTACCAGTTTGGAGACAAGGTGAAAAACCCCATCAGCTAAGAGGAACACCCCTTCAGCAAGGAGGAACACCACTTCCGCTAAGAGAAACACTACTTCCGCTGAGAGGAACACCACTTCTGCTGAGAGGAAGACCACTTCACCTGAGAGAAACACCACTTCACCTGAGAGAAACACCACTTCAGCTAAGAGGAACACCCCTTCAGGTAAGAGGAATGCCACTTCAGGTAGAGAAACACCACTTCACCTTAGTGGAACACCACTTCAGCTAGGAGGAACACCACTTCCGCTAAGAGGAACACCACTTCCCCTAAGAGGAACACAACTTCAGCTGAGAGGAACACCACTTCAGCTAAGAGGAACACCACTTCAGCTGAGAGGAACACCACTTCACCTGAGAGAAACACCACTTCAGCTAAGAGGAACACCCCTTCAGGAAAGAGGAATGCCACTTCAGCTAGAGGAACACCACTTCACCTTAGAGGAACACCACTTCAGCTAAGAGGAACACCACTTCACCTGAGAGGAACACCACTTCAGCTAGGAGGAGCACCACTTCCGCTAAGAGGAACACCACTTCCCCTAAGAGGAACACAACTTCAGTTGAGAGGCTAGGTTGATCAACACATTTATTTCAGATGCTAGGTGTTCTATGAGCAGCTCATGGCTTGTAATTTTTGCTTCAGCGTCAAAACGTGAGGATTCAGAGACATATCTTCCACACCCCATCACCTGATCGTCGTTTTGCACTTTACGTTTATGTAAGATGCCACACCAGTCTCACTTCAAAGGACCCGAGAAGATCCGGGTTAGAATTGATCTTCAGTAACCCATGCTTGTCGTGAAAGAGGACTAACGGGATCGGGCGGTCAGGCTCGCTGACTTGGTTGACACATGTCATCGTATCCCAATTGCGTAGGTCGATGCTCATACTGTTGATCACTGGATTGTCTTGTCCAGACTGGATTATTTACAGACCGCCGCCATATAGCTGTAATATTGCTGAGTGCGGCGTAAAACTAAACTCACTCACTCACTCACTCGCTTCAAAGTAATTCGTGGATCTCATACTGTGCGACGACTCAGACCTGCTAAATACGTGTTTGTTGGTCGAGAACACATAGCGAGTGTATTTAATGTGTTTCATGATCAAGGATTTTGTGGGTGAAACTTTTATGAATGATTGAGCCCATCGATGGTATCCGTGTTGTGAAAATAGGAATAGACAACCAAGACAAACAGCATTGCCGCCGCACATTTTGATCAATAACGGCAGAGAGCGAAGTGATGTGATCCGCGGCCACACATTGATCATTGCATGGCGCTTCAGTCAATATCGCCCTTTTCCGCTCCAGGCTACACGGTCAAGATATAAGTTATAGTGAGTGAGTGAGTGAGTCTGGTTTTACGCCGCCTTTAGCAATATTCCAGCAATATCACGGCGGGGGACACCAGAAATGGGCTTCACACATTGTACCCATGTGGGGAATCGAACCCGGGTCTTCGGCGTGACGAGCAAACGCTTTAACCACTAGGCTACCTCACCGCCCCATTATAAGTTATTGCATCATATATACGCTTTTTTTATAATATGAAGGCTGGCTTCTGTCTAAACACCGTGTAGGTCGTATCTTTACAATACAACCACACCATACCACCACTATAGTGACGATTACCAGAAGTAGTAATATATCTCTGACGTGGGGGTGATGGGGTAGCCTAGTGGTTAAAGCGTTCGCTCATGCTGCCTTGCATCTGGGTTCGATTCCTCTCATTGGTATAATGTGTGAAGCCTATTTCTGATGTCCCCCGCCGTGATATTGCTGGAATATTGCTAAAAGCGGTGTAAAAGTTTAGTCACTTACTCTTAAGTCGACCTCCAAAGTGGACACATTTGTGATTAAAATCATCTGCATCCTGCGGGCAGCTAGTCACGTTAACAGTAATAAATAAAAGCTAGTTGCTGTGAGTGTCAGTCCAAACTTCCAGATAGGCCTACCCATGAAGACCCGAGTTGGAATTCATCTTTGGCAACCCATGCTTGTCGTAAGAGGCGACTAACGGGATCGGGTGGTCAGGTTCGCTGACTTGGTTGACACATGTCACCGTATCCTAGTTGCGCAGATCGATGCTCATGCTGTTGATCACTGGATTGTCGGGTCCAGACTCGATTATTTACAGACCGTCACTATGTAGCTGGAATTTTGCTGAGTGCGGCGTAAAACTAAGCTCACTCACTCACGCCAAATAGGCCAACGCTATACGCTGCAGTGGCAGGCAAATGTCAACCCGTGTGTGTATACCATTAACACTTGAACGCTTTGGACAAAAAGGTATTAAGACTTAGGTAACACAAAGGAAATTGCAATTGGAGTTTCACACTCACGTTGGCGACAACACTACTGCTAAATGGTGACCGTGTTTGGCAGCTTGACTCCTGAGAGTTTCTAGGACTCGATTCCTGCACCACAATGAAGCACATGTGGCACATGTGGTCTCACCTTAGGCAAGTGAGTTTGTTCAAAATTGTCTCTGTTCACCCAGCAGGAAAATGGGTACCCGGTGGAAAAAAGTCAAATGACTATAACCTTCTAGCGCCTAACAGGCAGCTTGGGTTATCTGGGGTAATTGATTGTTAGCGCTATGAGCATACCTAGTGTGGAGTTTGGCGCTATATAAATGGACACATTATTATTATTATTATTATTATTATTATTATTAAATGGATACTTTACAAATATAAACAAATCTTAGGAGAAAAAAAGTACAGAAGCGCTACAACAATATACGTCTTATTCAAGCGACGTGCGGTACACTTATGGGGACTCTGACCCTGACCCTGACCCTGACCCCGACCCCGACTCGGCAACACAGGAATGGAAATCGAATAGACTTTTATTTGGACAAGTATGTATTGAAGTACCACGTTTTACATATCCATACAACTTGGCACAAATACGTTTGCGACCACGCTTCCCTTTTATCTTGCAATTGTCAGTGCCGAAGTCTTCTCCGCGGCCGCAGCTCCTGCAGTCGCAGACCCGTCTCCTGTAGCGACATCCCTGCACACAGCTGCCCCACGCCCCCCACTGCTGGAACCCACAGTCTGAGCCGCACGCCTCTTTCTGCTTCTTCGATCCAGTACATTTTCGACCTCTCTTCGTACAGGACCTTCTCCGAGTCCTCCATCCGCGTTTACAGGCGGACCAGGGTGACCAGGCGGACCAAACACCCTGTTGAACCTCCCGCCAGGCACGAAGGTTTACTTTGGGTAGTTGACGGCACCACCTGAGGGTGTTCCTGTAACAATCACAACCAAAACCATTTTCATTATACTTCCAAGGTGAAGACGTTCTCGACTGTTGTGTAGCACAGTTGTTAAAACGTTCGCTTGTCGAGCCGAAAATCCGGGGTTTACTCCCCACATGAGAACCATGTGTATGTTGGTAGCTTTGCATGCCCTTTTCACTCCAAATTAGAGCTGGAAGCCAACATACGCACTATAACAATCCAGGGGAAATCTAGTTGATATTCGCTTTTCACTCTGGGTTCTATTCCCTACATGGTTAACATACGTGTCCCTCATTCCGGCCCACATCATATTGCTTAACCACCGCTGCAGCGAAAAACCGTTCTCACTCACTCACCGTATTAATAATGCATAGCAAAGTCGGCATGCATCAGTAAAATCTAATCTTTGCATAATCTTTGAAAGTTATTGTAGTTTTATGATTCTATTTCGTTCATACTTCAAGTGTGTACACCGCCTCCGTGGTGTAGTGGTTAGAGCGTCCGCCCGGAGAGCGGAAGGTTGCGGGTTCGATCCCCGACCGCGTCATACCAAAAGACGTTAAAATATGGTACTTGTTGGTCCCTGCCTGGCGCTCGGCATTAATGGGTACAACAATGACTGGTCGGCTCGGAGTCAGTATAATGTGTCTGAGTCGGGTATTCATGCTTCACTGCGGCGTGGTATCTCAGTGGGCTAGCACTATAAAACCAGCTTCAGTCTGGGCTAGTACAAGCAGCCGCACATACACATACACACGCATGCACGTCGTCATATGAGCGAAATATTCTCAAGCACGACGTTAAACCCAATTTCACCTCACCTCACCTCAAGTGTGTACGCAAGGAACTCACCCTCTTCCTGCCCTCTTGAAAGCGTTAGGCTGAATCTTCTTTGTGTTGGTGTTGTCGCAGACCACTCGGGAGAGAGACGTGTGGCGGAGTTCAGTCAGCTGATCTAATGGAAGAGGATAATCATTCGCAGTAGCACATATTTAATGGCACAATGTCACACCACACTTCTCTAAAAAGAAACTTACTGCATTTCTCTCAATTATACTAACTAACATATAATTTATTGCCCAAAATAATTACGTATTTAGATTACAATATTAAATTAAAAAGTTCGAATGAATTAATGCAACGTTGCATTAAATCGATTCTTGCGCCCTCGACCGGCCGAACACATTATTTCAAGCGAACCCCCATAGAGTTATGTCCCTTGGAACGCTCTTTACGAATATCTTAGGCACAACTATGTGATTGAAACCAGTTCGGCAAACATCGACAACATCGATTTCAGGCAAGTCGTAAGGGATAATAAGTCTTTTATTGGAATAATAATGCGATCAAAAGCAGACTAGGTAGAAAAGGGGGAAAAACCAACCAAGTTCTTCCTCTCCCTTGAGACCAGAAATTATATCAATAAAACAATTACAAGACTAGAAAATAAAAGAGAAGAGATTCTCACAAACAAGGAAGACATCTTAAGCGAAACCCATAATTATTATAAAAACCTTTACAGTAAACAGATATGTCAAAATATAAACCTGTAAAACTTGTTTGAAAACATTAACTCCCCAAAACTGAACAATAAACAGCAACGTAGTTTAGAAGGCGAACTTAACTACAATGAAGTATTACGATCCTTGAAAAAATTAAAAAACGGAAAAAGCCCTGGGCCTTCAGGGTTCACAGTCGAATTTTACAAATTCTTTTGGCTAGTTTTACATAAATACTTGATACGATCGCTTAATTTTGGCTATAATAATGGCTCACTGTCAGTAAGCCAGACGCAAGGCCTAATAACCTGTTTCCCCAAAAGAACAAATCAAAACAGCATCTAAAAAATTGGAGCCCGATATCCCTATTAAATGTCTTCTATAAGATAGCTTCTTCAGCAATCGCAAATAGAATTAAAACAGTATTACCCGAAATAATAAACGAAGAAAAAGGTTTTATAACAAACAGATATATTGGAGAATGCACAAGACTCGTCTAGGATATAATGGATTATACGGAATGCATGGAAATACCTGGATTGCTTTTATCAATTGATTTCGAAAAAGCTTTCGACTCGGTGGACTGGAACTTTATACAAAATGTTTTGACTTTCTTTAACTTTCAAGCACTGGATAGAAACATGTTTCCGTAATATTAGATCCAGCATTCTTATTAATGGATTCGGAACAGATTTCTTTAGTATCACAGAGGCTGCAGACAAGGTGACCCATTATCCCCATATTTATTCGTATTATGCGCAGAAATATTAGCGATAATGCTACGTCACAATGAAAATATCAAAGGAATAAAAATCGGAAACACCGAATACCTCATATCACAGTTCACTGACGATACAACGCTGATTCTAAATGGAAATGAAGCCTGCGTACAGAGTGCGCTTAACACACGAGATACGTACTCTGCTTTCTCAGGCCTTAAAATAAACAGGAGTAAAACACAACTATTTTGGATAGGTTCACAACGCTCTTCAAGTGTAATATTATGTACACAATGGAAATTAGACTGGGAAAAGAAAAGTTTCACCCTTTTAGGCATCACCTTTACACACAACCTGGCGGAAATGGTCGAAACAAATTATAAGGACAAACTAAAAGGCATTAAGTCAATTATGAATATATGGTTACAACGTAATCTAACTCCATAAGGAAGAAATACCATATTAAAAAGCTATATCTTACCAAAACTCAACCATCTATTCGCGTCGCTTCCAGATCCTAACGATAAACTATTTAAAGAAATCGAATCACTCTGCTTCGGATTGTAGGGAAAAACAAACCCGATAAAATTGGCAGAAAAATAATTTTTCAGAACCAAATGATGAACGAGGACTACGAGCTCCAAACATAAGGCGGATAATATCTTCTAAAAAAATATCATGGATTAGACGACTACTGAACGCAAGACATATATAATTCAAAAACTCTTGAATGATTTCCTATCAATAACACGCGACCACCTCATAAATAATGAAGATAACCTGACATATAAACCAACAAATCGAGGAACAAACCCCTTCTTGAGGGATGTCCTGAAATGCTGGGAGTTATACCTAAACTCTAAATGTGAAAATGCCAAAAACGAATACGATATCCTTTCCCAAATTGTATGGCACAATAAGAACATTAGAATAGGAGGAAGCACCTTTGTCTATAAACACTACTCTGATAAGGCCATCCACTACATTAATGACCTCGTTGATAACGACGGAAATTATTTCAACCTTTCTTCCCTTCAGAGGAAATATCACATAAAACAAACTTCCTTGAATATCAAGGCATAATTGAATCAGTTGACTCTTATGTTAAAAGCAAATGCATTAAACTTAAATCAAAACTCCAAACACCAATTCTGCCATATTTCATCAAAGATGTATGTGAAACGAAAAGAGGCTGTCGTATATTCTATGACACATCAAAACACAAACCTTTTTGACATTAAGACCAGTAAACACATTCGGAAATGGGAGAACAATCTCAGATGTACCCTGACAGAACAAGAATGGAAAACCATACATTATACACCCTTCCGCACACATACAAACAGCAAACTACAATGGTTTCAACACAGCATCATTTACAGAATAATACCCACGAACGACCTCCTACATAAAATGAAATATACGAACAATAATAAATGTGACTTATGTAAACTGACATTGAATCAATAACACACCTCTTTTACGAATGTACAAAAGTTAGCCGTATATGGAGAGAACTAGAAGATTGGATCGAGGAGAAAACAGGAATAAACTATATTTTATCAAACAACATATCTTATTTGGCTATTATGAAAAGCGAAATGATGTTGTAAATCTGATCATAAATATAACTAAATTCAATGTGTATAAATGCAAACTATCGAAACGGCCACCACATCTCCAATATATCAACAGAGATATAACCAATACATATCATTTAGACAGATATATCTCATCCTTATAACTCATCCTTATAACTCACCCTTATTACTCATAACTTAAGATTACACTAAATTCAAGAAATACTGGTCAATATGTCATTGCCCGTTTACCTGAACAATATATCTCCTGTAAAAGCCATAACCATCAGCTACTGAATTATCATACCCATTTTGATTAGATACTATATGTATTGAACTATGAACTATTCATTTAATTGTAAAACATGTACCGGTGAACAGAAATAAAGTTATTAAAAAAGTATTATTTGCATCAATAGGAAGCTAACGTGAGTGCATATGCCCCAATATGTATAATATAGGCCAAAATATTGTTGGAAATGTGTGACATTGTGCCTTTAATGGTGTTTGTATTGGGGGATATGTAACTTAGAATAACAACGGTTATCCTACCTAATGTAAGAACCTCGATATCTGATTGGTCCACGTGACCCTGAACACATTTCCATATACACCGTCCACCCGGTGGGTAATTTTTTTCCGATGGACAATCAATGCCTTATAACCTGCTACATGAATAAAGCGTCAGTCAGTTGGTTCATGTCACGTGATGTATTCATAGGTCATTCAATGTCAATCGAACTGCTATTTTTGTCAAAATGTTTTTACTGATGATAGCTTGAAAAAAGTCGGTAAAATAAATGCATGATCACATTCGTGGAGGTTGCCATTGAGAATTATCACACCCACATCAGGTTTTATCCAGCTCCGGCTCCTAAAACAAAACCTAAATAAAACCTGATGTGGGTCTGATAATTGCAAATGTCAACCTCCGCTGAATGTGATAACTTATGTAATGCATACCTGGTGTAAACCCAACATCCTTGTCATCCGTCTCATACCAGAATCTGTCGCCGATCTTGAGCAGCTCGAACTGACGGCCGATAATGCAAGAAAAGGTGTTCCCCACCAGACCTCCAGGAACTGGGCATTCTGATATGCCTCCAGAGAACAGATCAATGTCGCTGGGAGATCTAAAATAGGATACGTTTTACATCTTCAGTTGCAATTTGACTTGAGAATGGGCACACAATCTTAAACCTACTCTGCACCTTCACATTGCTGTTCGGTTCGTCCTTATCACTATGTGGTATCAGTACTTCAAATGTAACGTTAAATTCTGATTCAGTCCCCAATGCTCGGAGCACTCACCTGTACAACGATTGAAAAGCTGCCGCCGCCTTGACAGAATGCTCATAAAGTCCTCCACGGCTGGTTTTAAAATCTTTAGCTTCCGGGAATCCACACCACCTCCGCCAATCATTGTATCCTGGTAGACCATGGTCACGGCCACGCTGAATGTTTAAAGACACCAGATCAAGACTATTGCCTTCATCATCTGGGAAAAGGAAGTCGGAAACTTCAGGACTTACGTGTCTGTCCACAGAATTGGCCCTATCAACCACCAGCCCTCTTGTCAGTCTATTTATAGCATCACCTGATGATGAAATGATGATAGATGTGTTTCCAAATGAGTCTCTTAGTTGAAGATCTTTTCCACCTTTATATCTCCTGTTTGGACGACTAAAGAAGGATCTTAGCATGGAGTGTCCAAAGCGGTAGGCAGCTGTAGCAAAGGCGTTGTGGACACTTGCATCAACACGGGCATCGTAAATATTAACAGGACCAGAAGATGGACGGAGTTTATATTTTTTGTAAAATGTAGGGGAGAGGACCAGGGGAAGAAATTCAGCATAGGTGATGTGCTGCATCATGGCTCCCACAATCCTCCTGGCTTCCTGGAACAGCCGCTCATCATCCCAGTGCGGGTTGATACTTGCAAGCTTCCTGGCCACTCTGTTGTGTTCCCGTAGCCAGATGGTGTGCATACTTGTCAGAGACATGTGCTCGTCCACTCTCTCGTCACCTGAACACAGATAATGGAAGACTCAAATGGGGCATTTTGAGTTTTTCTGTTTGGTACTGCATGGATATATTTACCTTTCAAAAGTATCCACAATTGTAGGAATGATTGAGACACGATATAAAGCAGGTCAGGCTGTACTTTTTGACAGGACAGTATCTTTCATGAATAATAAACATATCGTAACCTTATATTCACGGAAAAAGGGACCACGTGGGGCCCAGTTGTCTATGTGGCGCAATTCGTTTAGCAGAGTTGCGTCCCTTGGGAAAGATAGAAATGTATGATCGTGGATTCTAATCCAGGTCTGACGTAATCATGTCAGCGCCACACACAGGTGACGAGATGCAAAGTCCAACAAGGTGAGATACATACCTGCCTTGAAACAGAAGTTGGGTTCAGTGGAAGTTACACAATCCGGGATGGAGTTTCTGGGAAGCAATTCCGGATTGTCAGATGATGTTCTCAGCAAACCTGAAAGTAGGTAAGTTGGAATCACTGAAATTAGTCCTTCTTATATCTGCATTCCACAGACACACTGACATACACTTTATTTAGTTGAAGACAATCAGTTACTACACCAGGTGTTCGAAAAAGCCAAAACTATCGGCAATGTGTGTTGTATGACATACCTCCAGTTATTTTAATGATCAGTAAAATCATAATTTGCTGATGAAACACATCATCAAGTGATAGTTGTGTAGACGGATCAAGGAAAAGTAATGACACCATGTGTCCGTGAGAGCACCAAGTGTCGGCTATGCGTGTCGTATGACGTACCTCCAGTGTTAGCACGTAGTTCATGCTGTTCCTCCTCGGTGGAACCATACACTTGCGACGCATCTATGTAAGCAGTCAGTTGGTTCAGTTGTTCTGCTGGAACTACAAGACGATGACGTGGTTGAGTATGATCAGGGACAAACACTCCGGACTGGAGGATAATCAAGGAAGTTCCATCTCCGACTAGACATCACACCACAGATCGTTTTGGGCATGATTTGGTGGAACCCATATTGGAAGAAGGTGCACCAGGTTTACCAGTTCCTGTTGATTTCACAACACGACTTGGACAGTCGCGACCTTAATATAGACTTAGAATTGAAAATACATCAATTGGACACTTAAATTAAAACGCCCGAACATCCTTGTCATTCTTAACCTTCGGAGAATATCTCAACTTGGTACACCCAAACCGCTCTGTAATCTCTGAGCATCTTATACTTCCACCGCCCATGAGGCTTTGAACCTATTTTCTACCTCTCGAACCTCAATATACAGCCAATGACAGCCCTCAGCAATGGAGTCTATAGCTCTCCCAGCTCTATGAATACCTGAACCTGTCACTCTCCCACCTCAATGAATACCTGAACCTGCCTCTCTCCCACCTCCATGAATACCTGAACCTGCCGCTCTCCCTCCTCCATGAATACCTGAACCTGCCACTCTCCCACCTCCATGAATACCTGAACCTGCCACTCTCCCACCTCCATGAATACCTGAACCTGCCACTCTCCCACCTCCATGAATACCTGAACCTGTCCACTCTCCCACCTCCATGAATACCTGAACCTGTCACTCTCCCACCTCCATGAATACCTGAACCTGTTACTCTCCCACCTCCATGAATACCTGAACCTGCCCTGACTCTCTCCCACCTCCATGAATACCTGAACCTGTCACTCTCCCACCTCCATCCATGAATACCTGAACCTGCCACTCTCCCACCTCCATGAATACCTGAACCTGTCACTCTCCACACCTCCATGAATACCTGAACCTGCCACTCTCCCACCTCCATGAATACCTGAACCTGCCACTCTCCCACCTCCATGAATACCTGAACCTGCCACTCTCCCACCTCCATGAATACCTGAACCTGCCACTCTCCCACCTCCATGAATACCTGAACCTGTTACTCTCCCACCTCCATGAATACCTGAACCTGTCACTCTCCCACCTCCATGAATACCTGAACCTGTCACTCTCCCACCTCCATGAATACCTGAACCTGTTACTCTCCCACCTCCATGAATACCTGAACCTGTCACTCTCCCACCTCCATGAATACCTGAACCTGTTACTCTCCCACCTCCATGAATACCTGAACCTGTCACTCTCCCACCTCCATGAATACCTGAACCTGTCACTCTCCCACCTCCATGAATACCTGAACCTGTTACTCTCCCACCTCCATGAATACCTGAACCTGTCACTCTCCCACCTCCATGAATACCTGAACCTGTCACTCTCCCACCTCCATGAATACCTGAACCTGTCACTCTCCCACCTCCATGAATACCTGAACCTGCCACTCTCCCACCTCCATGAATACCTGAACCTGTCACTCTCCCACCTCCATGAATACCTGAACCTGTCACTCTCCCACCTCCATGAATACCTGAACCTGTTACTCTCCCACCTCCATGAATACCTGAACCTGTCACTCTCCCACCTCCATGAATACCTGAACCTGCCACTCTCCCACCTCCATGAATACCTGAACCTGTCACTCTCCCACCTCCATGAATACCTGAACCTGTCACTCTCCCACCTCCATGAATACCTGAACCTGCCACTCTCCCACCTCCATGAATACCTGAACCTGTCACTCTCCCACCTCCATGAATACCTGAACCTGTTTCTCTCCCACCTCCATGAATACCTGAACCTGCCACTCTCCCACCTCCCACCTCCATGAATACCTGAACCCTGTCACTCTCCCACCTCCATGAATACCTGAACCTGTTTCTCTCCCACCTCCATGAATACCTGAACCTGTCACTCTCCCACCTCCATGAATACCTCCACCTGTTGCTCTCCCACCTCCATGAATACCTGAACTCCATGAATACCTGAACCTGTCACTCTCCCACCTCTCCATGAATACCTGAACCTGTTACTCTCCCACCTCCATGAATACCTGAACCTGAACCTGTCTGAACCTGCCACTCTCCCACCTCCATGAATACCTGAACCTGTCACTCTCCCACCTCCATGAATACCTGAACCTGTCACTCTCCCACCTCCATGAATACCTGAACCTGCCACTCTCCCTCTCCTCCTCCATGAATACCTGAACCTGTCACTCTCCCACCTCCATGAATACCTGAACCTGTCACTCTCCCACCTCCATGAATACCTGAACCTGTCACTCTCCCACCTCCATGAATACCTACCTGAACCTGTTACCTCTCCAACCTCCATGAATACCTGAACCTGTTACTCTCCCACCTCCATGAATACCTGCCAACCTGAACCTGCCCTCCCACCTCCATGAATACCTGAACCTGTCACTCTCCCACCTCCATGAATACCTGAACCTGTTACTCTCCCACCTCCATGAATACCTGAACCTGCCTGAACTCTCTCTCCCACCTCCATGAATACCTGAACCTGTTTCTCTCCCACCTCCATGAATACCTGAACCTGTCACTCTCCCACCTCCATGAATACCTGAACCTGTCACTCTCCCACCTCCATGAATACCTGAACCTGTCACTCTCCCACCTCCATGAATACCTGAACCTGTCACTCTCCCACCTCCATGAATACCTGAACCTGCCACTCTCCCACCTCCATGAATACCTGAACCTGTTACTCTCCCACCCATCCCTGAATACCTGAACCTGTCTCACTCTCCCACCTCCATGAATACCTGAACCTGTTTCTCTCCCACCTCCATGAATACCTGAACCTGTTACTCTCCCACCTCCATGAATACCTGAACCTGTCACTCTCCCACCTCCATGAATACCTGAACCTGCCACTCTCCCACCTCCATGAATACCTGAACCTGTCACTCTCCCACCTCCATGAATACCTGAACCTGTTACTCCCACCTCCATGAATACCTGAACCTGTCACTCTCCCACCTCCATGAATACCTGAACCTGTCACTCTCCCACCTCCATGAATACCTGAACCTGTCACTCTCCCACCTCCATGAATACCTGAACCTGTTACTCTCCCCCACCTCCATGAATACCTGAACCTGTCACTCTCCCACCTCCATGAATACCTGAACCTGCCACTCTCCCACCTCCATGAATACCTGAACCTGTCTCTCCCACCTCCATGAATACCTGAAACCGTTTCACCTCTCCCACCTCCACGAATACCGGAACCTGTCACTCTCCCACCTCCATGAATACCGGAACCTGTTACTCCCCACCTCCATGAATATCTGAACCTGCCACTCTCCCACCTCCATGAATACCTGAACCTGTTTCTCTCCAACCTCCATGAATACCTGAACCTGTCACTCTCCCACCTCCATGAATACCTGAACCTGTCACTCTCCCACCTCCATGAATACCTGAACCTGCCACTCTCCCACCTCCATGAATACCTGAACCTGTCACTCTCCCACCTCCATGAATACCTGAACCTGCTCTCTCCCACCTCCATGAATACCTGAACCTGTCACTCTCCCACCTCCATGAATACCTGAACCTGTTTCTCTCCCACCTCCATGAATACCTGAACCTGTCACTCTCCCACCTCCATGAATACCTGAACCTGTCACTCTCCCACCTCCATGAATACCTGAACCTGCCACTCTCCCACCTCCATGAATACCTGAACCTGTCCTCCTGAACCTGTCACCTCCATGAATACCTGAACCTGTCACTCTCCCACCTCCATGAATACCTCAACCTGCCTGAATCCCACCTCCATGAATACCTGAACCTGTCACTCTCCCACCTCCATGAATACCTGAACCTGTCACTCTCCACCTCCATCCATGAATACCTGAACCTGTCACTCTCCCACCTCCACCTCCATGAATACCTGAACCTGTCACTCTCCCACCTCCATGAATACCTGAACCTGTTACTCTCCCCACCTCCATGAATACCTGAACCTGCCACTCTCCCACCTCCATGAATACCTGAACCTGTCACTCCTCCCACCTCCATGAATACCTGAACCTGCTGGCACTCTCCCACCTCCATGAATACCTGAACCTGTCACTCTCCCACCTCCATGAATACCTGAACCTGTCACTCAGGTACCAGTCAGAGGGATGCAAGGCTACAGGTACCTGTCAGGGGTATTCAAGGGTACAGGTATCTCTCAGTAAGAATCAAGGCTACAGGTATCTTTCAGGGGTATTCAGTGTTATAGGTACCTGTCAGTAAGAATCAAGGCTACAGGTACCTGTCAGAAGGGAGGTTACAGGTACCTGCCAGGGGTATTCAAGGGTACAGGTACCTCTCAGTAAGAATCAAGGATACAGGTATCTTTCAGGGGTATTCAGTGTTATAGGTACCTGTCAGTAAGAATCAAGGCTACAGGTACCTGCCAGGGGGATTCAAGGGTACAGGTACCTCTCAGTAAGAATCAAGGCTACAGGTACCTGTCAGAGGGGATGCAAGGCTACAGGTACCTGTCAGGGGTATTCAAGGGTACAGGTACCTGTCAGTAAGAATCAAGGCTACAGGTACCTCTCAGAGGGGATGCAAGGCTACAGGTACCTGTCAGTAAGGATCAAGGCTACAGGTACCTGTCAGTAAGAATCAAGGCTACAGGTACCTGTCAGGGGTATTCAAGGTTACAGGTACCTCTCAGTAAGATTCAAGGCTACAGCTACCTGTCAGAAGGGAGGTTACAGGTACCTGCCAGGGGTATTCAGTGTTACAGGTACCTCTCAGTAAGATTCAAGGCTACAGATACCTGTCAGAAGGGAGGTTACAGGTACCTGCCAGAGGTATTCAAGGCTACGGGTACCTCTCAGTACGAATCTAGGCTACAGGTGCCTGCCAGAGGTATTCATTGTTACAGGCACCCCACGGTAAGATTCGAGGCTACAGGTACCTGTCAGAGGGGATGGAAGGCTACAGGTACCTGTCAGGGGTATTCAAGGGTACAGGTACCTCTCAGTAAGAATCAAGGATACAGGTATCTTTCAGGGGTATTCAGTGTTATAGGTACCTGTCAGTAAGAATCAAGGCTACAGGTACCTGCCAGGGGTATTCAAGGCTACAGGTACCTGTCAGTAAGAATCAAGGCTACAGGTACCTGTCAGAGGGGATGCAAGGCTACAGGTACCTGTCAGGGGTATTCAAGGGTACAGGTACCTCTCAGTAAGAATCAAGGATACAGGTATCTTTCAGGGGTATTCAGTGTTATAGGTGCCTGTCAGTAAGAATCAAGGCTACAGGTACCTGTCAGAGGGATTCAAGGCTACAGGTACCTCTCAGTAAGATTCAAGGCTACAGCTACCTGTCAGTAGGAATTCAAGGCTACAGGTACCTGCCAGGGGTATTCAAGGTTACAGGTACCTCTCAGTAAGATTCAAGGCTACAGCTACCTGTCAGAAGGGAGGTTACAGGTACCTGCCAGGGGTATTCAGTGTTACAGGTACCTCTCAGTAAGATTCAAGGCTACAGATACCTGTCAGAAGGGAGGTTACAGGTACCTGCCAGAGGTATTCAAGGCTACGCGTACCTCTCAGTACGAATCTAGGCTACAGGTGCCTGCCAGGGGTATTCATTGTTACAGGTACCCCACGGTAAGATTCGAGGCTACAGGTACCTGTCAGAGGGGATGCAAGGCTACAGGTACCTGTCAGGGGGGTACAGGTACCTCTCAGTAAGAATCAAGGCTACAGGTATCTTCAGGGGTATTCAGTGTTATAGGTACCTGTCAGTAAGAATCAAGGCTACAGGTACCTGTCAGGGGTATTCAAGGCTACAGGTACCTGTCAGTAAGAATCAGGCTACAGGTACCTGTCAGAGGGGATGCAAGGCTACAGGTACCTGTCAGGGGTATTCAAGGGTACAGGTACCTCTCAGTAAGAATCAAGGATACAGGTATCTTTCAGGGGTATTCAGTGTTATAGGTACCTGTCAGTAAAGGATGCTACAGGTACCTCAGGGGAGGATTCAAGGCTACAGGTACCTCTCAGTAAGATTCAAGGCTACAGCTACCTGTCAGGGGTATTCAAGGTTACAGGTACCTCTCAGTAAGATTCAAGGCTACAGCTACCTGTCAGAAGGGAGGTTACAGGTACCTGCCAGGGGTATTCAGTGTTATAGGTACCTCTCAGTAAGACTCAAGGCTACAGGTACCTCTTAGTAAACTTCAAGGTAACAGGTACCTGCTGAGGGTATTCAATATGATAGGTATCTGCAAGTAAGACTCATTATTACCTTCACTACATTATTACCACCGTGCCTTGTTGTTGTTGTTAATCCCCTTGATTCATACCTACATGTTGTTATTACTTAATCCCTGTTCATGTATATAAGTCTGTTCTGTGATGTAGTACTTCACTCTTGCTTGACAACGGTATAAGAATCCATACCGAAACGTCTCATCATATATAATAAAAGAAGTTGTTATCCATAAACAATCTTACTTTCTTAGTAAGACTCAAGGCTACAGGTACCTCTTAGTGAGATTCAAGGTAACAGGTACCTGCTAGTGAGGTTCAAGGCTACAAATACTTGTCAAGGGGAATTCAAGGTTACAAGTACCTCTCACTGAGATTCAAGGCAGGGGATGGGGCTCCGCCTTGGACGTCCTCCTTACAACATGTTATGGCAGCTCCGTCAGTGCCTGTACATAACAATATGTTATACTTTTATTTGATTCATATCAAGGCTAAAGGTTTATTAAAACGACCAATCTTATTAGAAAGTAGAAAATGTTTCCAAAGCAATTGTGCCGTTTTCTCTTGTCGTTTCTTCTGAAAGTATGCTGTTGTATTTAACAATACATTTCCCAACGGACAGTGATAAACGTTCTTGTAAAGCATAGGACAAGTTATTTATGTAAAGGTGTAGATCATTGTTGAACACTTTACTTAATGACTGGACTTTTTTTATTTTGAATATTTTTTGCGTTTGCGTATCCACGAAAAACCGTTTATATTTATGCCTTTACTTTTTATTTTACGTTCATTTGTCCATAAACGCATTAAAATCACATTGACGCCATTTCTTTTAATTATTATTATTATAGGATATTTTTATAGCGCACATATCCACGCAACTAGTGCATGCTCAAGGCGCTGGTATTTTCTTTTCGTGCCCCCAATATATATAATTCCGGCAGAATCATTTTGTAGATATGTATTGTATTTTCAGGATGCTTGTACGCCATATTCGTTGGATACTGCTCCTACTGTCCACTTGCAAAATAGGATTATCAAATATGATTCATGTACCAAACTCCCCCAGCAATTTTAGAGAGGCGGATAAATATGCTTGTGAATGTGAAAGTCCGACACTAAGGAAAGAAGGTGTGTACAATTACGAACAAGATATCATATAAAATGCATCATTACAAAACCAAGGTTAACAAACCAGTAGTTATAGTTTCTGCTGACCTCGTTCTATAGGGGTATTGGTGATGTCATGATCCAGGAACTGACCCCACTGCATGACCATGTGTGTGACGTCACTCTGTGACGAAGCGTCGACGTCAGGGGTGTGAAGAGTGGTACTGACAAGACGTGCACTTACAAGCGGGCTTCCGTCACTTCCAGTGGTTCGGGGCGATGATATACCTGCAATCATAAGCGAGTTGAGTAAACGCAACTTTTAACAATGATAACATTTTGTGGGAGGAACGCCCGAAGTAATGCAGGTCACAGACTGACTGACTGACTGACTGACTGAGTTTGGTTTTACGCCGCTTTTAGCAATATTCCAGCAATATCACGGCGGGGGACACCAGAAATGGGCTTCACTCATTGTACCCATGTGGGGATTCGAACCCGGGTCTTCGTCGTGACGAGCCAACGCTTTAACCACTAGGCTACTCCACCGCCCCTAGGTCACTTTTAAAAGTGAGTAAGTGAGTTTAGTTTTACGCCGCGCTCAGCAATATTCCAGCTATATGGCGGCGATCTGTAAATAATCCAGTCTGGACAAGACAATCCAGTGATCAACAGTATGAGCATCGACCTACGCAATTGGGATACGATGACATGTATCAACCAAGTCAGCGAGCCTGACCACCCGATCCCGTTAGTCGCCACTTACGACAAGCATGGATTACTGAAGATCAATTCTAACTCGGATCTTCACGGGTCCATTACACACAAACTTGGTAAACCATCTAACAAAACCATGCACGCAGCTCACCGTCGCCATATTGTGGTGGAAGGAACCTCCTCATTGGGATGAAGCTCTGTCCCCAGTCAGGATGTTGGATGTTGTTACAGCTGCCGTCCGCTGACCGGAACTTGTCGGTTATGTTGCACGTGATGGAAATGGGGCAGTTGTTTCTGATTGATTGACATCAATTATCAAAATCGAATTAATTAATTATTATAATTTATGCAAGGAAATAGTGTTCCAAAGAGGCTAAATTATTTAGAAAATGTTTAAAAACAGAAAACGAGGGAGCAAGAGTTAGTGAGTGAGCTTTTACTCCGCTCTTAGCAATATTCCAGCAATATCACGGCGGATGACACCAGAAATGGGCTTCACACATTGTCCGCATGTGGGGCATCGAACCCGGGTGTTCGGCGTGACGAGCGAACGCCTTAACCGCTAGACTACCCCATCGCCCCAATGAGAGGTCAGCAAAAAAAACGAGTTGTTGGTTTTGAATAACAACTTCTAAATGTGGAGATCTAAACAGCTAAAACTATCAATAAAACAAAAAGCAATTGAATTGATAGATAAGATAGATTTTTAAAATAGATTTGCTCAAAGGCAATTGGCCACACCCAAGCTACAAAGCTCTCCAACACCACCTCACACCATGCAAATCATATGATATATAGTTGTTGTGTCTACAGCTATGAAATCACACAACATTGTACTTTTTAAAACTTTATATGTGTCGCATTGATGCGTCACAAGAGACGGTTCATGTTGCTAAAGAGGTGGGAACAGGGATTACATTGTTTATATTTGGCAGCTAATAGCGCCTGTATCCACACAATTGTTCATGCTCGTAGCGCCACGGGAGGAGGAGTGAGTATGTTTCGTTTTACGCCGCACTCAGCAATATTCCAGCTATATGGCGGCGGTGTAAGACAATCCAGTGATCAACAGCATGAGCATCGATCTACACAACTGGGATACGATTACATGTGCCAACCAAGTCAGCAAGCCTGACCACCCGATCCCGTTAGTCGCCTTTTACGACAAGCATAGGTGACTGAAGATCAATTCTAACCGGATCTTCACGGGTCAGAGGATGATTTTCAATAGATAGTAGTAGGCGTTCATGAAAAGATAAGTGGATGTTCCCTGCTTTGGGAATACATCCCGCTTGCTTCGGAATCATTCAGGTTTGAATCCCTACATGGTCCAATTTGCAAAACAACCCCGTGAAGATCATTGTTAAAATTGATCTTCAGCAAGCCATGCTTGTCGTAAGGGGCGACTAACTGGGTAGGGTGGTCAGGTTGGCTGAATTGGTTGACACATGTCATCGTATCCAAACTGCATAGATTCGATGCTCACAATGTCAATCATTGGATTGTCTGGTCCAGACTCGAATATTCACATGCCCCCTCATATAGCTTGAATATTGCTGAGTGCGGCGTTAAACAACAAACGAGCAAAAAATAATTGGCAAAAGGTTTACTATTTATGGCAATAGGTTTACATATCGTGATGATATGTGTACAATATAGTCCGTTTTCAGACATATCGTGATCTATGACATGTCATCATACCCTCTGTGAGGTTTTGCAGAATTTATGTCCTAAAATTAAAAGTTCAAACTATCATTAAAATATTGACACAGTTCACTGTTTGTTACGAGGGATGAGTGCAGAGAAAAGGACAGCCAGGTGTTCGAGAACGGATGGAGACGGCACAGCACAGGTTAATGAATAAATAACTTTGTCTGTGAACGTGCTTCTCGAACACCTGGCTGTCCCTTTCTCAGCACTCCTCCCTCGTAACAGACAGTGAACTGTCAATATTTAAATGATAGTTTGTTAAACAACTTTATTATTTTTAGGACAAAAATTCTGCAAAAACCTCACAGAGTGGGTATGATGTTTTGATTATGATCAGCGTTTCATTGAATATGTTATGTTTATTAGCTTTCGAGTTAGATTGCAATTCATCGGTCCGCTTTTGAGCCAAATGGACTACACATTGGTAATGCAGAAATTTATATTATAAAACCTGTTGGCAAAGGACAGTTAAAGAACTAGAATATCAGATCTACAGATTTAAAACTAGCATGAAACCTTTCATTTCTTTCACTGTTCACGACAATACAATGTACACACTGGCTGACTGGCGGTAAATTACCGTACTAGACACGAAGGAGACTAACTGCATTTTTTCTAGATTTAAACCATCCCTTTAGTCACTAGCGATAATTGGCAATCTTAGCCAAACTTAAAATGTCAAATATTCTACGTTTAAAACAGTATATATAATATTCTTTGAATAATATAGACTAAGGATATCACCCTGTGGGAGGCAACCGAGGACACAGACTCTAACAATCCCAGTTGATAATAATATCATATTATTAATATTAATTATGATAATATCAAATCTTAAAATACATTACCTTCTGCATTAAAAGTTATGTATAAGTTTTGTGTTTTCAAAACACAGCATGAAATGAGACTTCGAAGTAACATTAAAATGATCGTTGAGAGTTTTGCGCATAAATATTTATCCTTTGTGATGAACTTACTTTAGAGGGTTTGGCTGCAGAAGTGACCGCAAGTTTCGCCAGAAGCTTTTCTCTGTACGCTTGGCCGAGCTTTATCGCCTCTGGTTTTGTTGAGATGAACGCAGCGTGTAGTTCCGATGTAGATTTCCCTCCGAGCCGGTCAACACCTGAAACACAACGACTGAGAAAAATAGAGGGGGGAAGATTGTTTGTTTGTTTGTTTTGTTGATTTACGCAGCACTCAGCAATATTCCAGCTATATGGCAGCGGTCTGTAAATAATCGAATCTGGACCAGACAATCCAGTGATCAACAACATGAGCATCGATCTACGCAATTGGGATACGATGACATATGTCAACCTTGTCAGCGAGGTTGACCGCCCGATCCCGTTAGTCGCCACTTGCGACAAGCATGGTTTTCTGAAGACCAATTCTAATCCCGACCGTAACAGGTTCATTGTGTAAGAAAAGTATGCATTAGTTTGTAAACTTGTGCAAACGTGTGACATCAACTTCATCTACATTACATCATCCGACAATAATCCTTGTAAGATACCTTATAATGATATCTTAAAGTATGGAGCAAATATTGACAAAATACTCAACATTGAAAACCCTTATTGGAAAGATGTTTTAAAAGCATGGAACAATTATTGCAAAAAGTTCAATGCTGATTCTGACAATATTGATTACATTCTTGCCGAACCATTATGGCTCAATCACTATTATAAAAACCCTTGCCATGTTATTATTCACTGGGCGGATAAGGGCTTATTGACAGTAAAGGATTTATGTGATGAACATGGATTTATGCCATTTGAAAAGTTAAAGATAAAATACAAAATAAGAGGGACACTATTTATAAATATCTACTTCACATCTTACCTGATATTTGGAAAAATGTTATTAAAAAAGGACAAGCATCATTCCTTCCTACAATTTATACATCAATGTTTACCAAAGAAATATGTTAAAGCTCTCCAAAGGTTCAAGAATATTTTATGACAAGCTGATTTCTAAAAATGATAAACTTGAAATTTGTACTAAATGGGAAACTACATTCAATGATTGTGAGTTTGATTGGTACAAATTTTTTAACTCTTATAGACATGGATTGAAAGACGTTAAACTTCTTGATTTTCAATACAGATTTTTGCAAAGGGTTATTTATACTAAAAAAGAATTATCGAGAATGAACCTGATTGACAATGATTTGTGTAGTTTTGCAATAATGTTTCTGAGAGCATTTGTCATGTTTATTGGGAATGCTGTGAAAGCATGAAATTCTGGAATGATCTCGAACTCTGGATTAATAACTATTTACCACGAAAAATAAACATCACAAAATATTTGATTTGGTTTGGTACATTGCATAATGATGTATTACTAAATCAAATCATTATCTCTGCCAAAAAACATATCAATTTATGTAATATAAAAAAATCAATTCCAAAATTCCGTAATTATAAAAAGTATTAAAAGAGATATTTTCTGTAGAAAATTTATTTCAAAGAGAAACAATGAAATCGAGAAATTCAATCTTAAATGGAATTCGCTCATCCCAGTATTCAGCAACTAATTACCAATATATCTCTACAGCAATGTATCTTCACCTTTTCTGTGCCTGTTGCTACCATATACCCTTGTTATTGACTTTGTAACCATGGGAACAAATAAATAAAAAAATATTTTTAAAAAAACAAAAAAACTTCATCTACATTGAAGGGATCCAGTGATCAACAGCATGAACATCGATTAACGCAGTTAGGATACGATGACTTGTGTCACTGACTGACTGAGTTTGGTTTTACGCTGCTTTTAACAGTATTCCAGCAATATCACGGCGGGGGACACCAGAAATGGGCTTCACTCATTGTACCCATGTGGGGATTCGAACCCGGGTCTAAGACGTGACGAGCCAACGCTTTTAACCACTAGACTACCCCACCGCCCCGACATGTATTAACCAAGCCAACGAGCATGACCACCCGATCCCGTTAGTAACCTCTTAAGAGAAGCTTGGGTTACTGAAAATCAATTCTAACCCGGATGTTCACGGGTCAGTTATCCACAAGGAGATAAATATTTAATAAATGTTAGTTCTAATCCAATACTGTTTAATGTAAATTTTAATTCATTGTTTGTGTTATTCTAGTTCGATGGGATCACAAATATAAGTAGTTTTGGCAATTATGAATAATACGAATTACACATATACAAATAGAGACAAAATCTATAAAAAAACAAAAAACATGTGTCAACCATGTCAGCGAGCCTGACCACCCGATCCCGTTAGTCGCTTCTAGAAGCACGGGTTGCAGTAGAAGAATTCTAACCCGGATCTTCACGGGTAAAAGGGGAGGGGAAATGAGGGTAGCAACGTGAGGACGCCTGTCACTTTGACATTTCATGCAACTCCTTTGTATGTCTTAAAAACTTACTCGCTCAATAATTATAAAAGACCAGGAACTTCTCCACTGAGTAAATCCATCGCTCGTTAACTAAACATTATGTAACAAATGTTGTACAGTTTACAGGCGAATGACAGCCTACAGGCAACATCTCAAACTTCTTGATAGAAATTTCCTATAAAAATGTGCCTGCATTCAAACTCCCATCTCAGACGTACGCAATGGCCTCGAGATAATATTTATAATGTCAGTGGTATTCAAATGAGTGATTGAGTGAGTTAAAATTTAAAGTCACACCGACAGTATTTGAGTGAGTGAGTGAGTTTAGTTTTACGTCGCTTTTAGCAATATTCCAGCAATATCACGGCGGGTACACCAGAAATGGGCTTCACACATTGTACCCATGTAGAAAATCGAACCCGTGTGACAGTATTTCAGCCATATCGTGACTAAAACAAGTTCTAAATACACGATGAATCCATTCAGATCACAAACACCGGTCAACGAAGGACAGTTATAAAAAAAACAGCATATCATGTAATATTCAAGGCTATTTGTCGGCGAAATTTATAACAGTTATAGACTGCCCTGAAATTAAACGCGCACCTGTGAAATGTGTGTATTAGTCAATTTGTAGGCTGTTCACATTTTGAGTGATTGAGTTCAGTTTTACGCCGCCTTTAGCAATATTCCAGCAATATAACGGCGGGGGAGACCAAAAATGGGCTCTTAACAGTGTGCCCTTATGTGGGGAATCGAACCCGGGTCTTCGGCGTGACGAGCGAATGCTTTAACCACAAGGCAACCCCACTGCCAACCTCTTCTCATTAAGAGTGTTGGGTATGGTCTTACGCCGCTTTTAACAATATTCCAATATTTCGGCGGGACACACCAGAAACGGGTTCCACGCGTTGTACCAATGTCTGGAGGCGAACCCGGACCTTCGGCATGACGACTGAACGCTTTAACCACTACCACACCGCCCCGTTGGCATTTAGAGATGACAAGCCAGAAGTACTTTGAGATACTGTTTCAGATTGAAAAGAAAGTGCGTTGATGCGGATACCGGGGAAGTACCTTTGAGAGACGCTCTTCCTGGTTGAGAGTCGTAGGTATTGAGGCGCGACAGTCAGATTTAAGTCCACGTCAGAGAATAAGCAGAACTTCTTTTAATTGTTGGATATTAAGTTCTTCAAAAGCGATAAGTGTCAGCATTTTCAGAAAAAAATACCTCCAGTACAGCCTACAGGTATCCTAAGTTATTCTTACCAGCATTTAAGGGAATATATTAAGATAAAAAGAAATAAAAAGCGTCGTTTGATAACCAGAATGACAAACGCAACATGACAACTGAATCATTGTCTACCTGTAGGTTTACTGAATATTGGCATGTTTGAATGACAAGGATGTTTTGTGTTGACAACGGTTGTGTAGGCAGTTTACATTTCAAATGCTGTAAACTGAGACATATTGTTGTGAGACATAGTATCAATTATTCACCTGTATTCTCATGATGTATCGTTTGTGCTGAACTGTGACATATTGTTGTGAGACATAGTATCAATTATTCGCCTGTATTCTCATGATGTATCGTTTGTGCTGAACTGTACAGGTGCGAGACCATGCTATCATTTTTATGAACACCTGGCACCATCAATGATCGCTAGCTATTTCCCAAACAGTAGTGTTGGGAATTGGTTGAAATCTCACAATTGATGATTGGTTCAATGCCAACGACCAATCATCGAAAAAAATTGGTTAGCGTTATTTTTTAGATTTCCCTATTCAGGTTGTAGTTGCAGATAAGTCTAAAGAAAAACAACATTTGGTTCTCTGTTGTTGTTGTTTTGTTTTATTTAGAAACTGCACAAATTACATTTGCAAATTCCACATCCAATGTAAAATGATTCTGTTCCATTGTAACATCAACTTCCCAGATTCTTCAAGAAATATTCAGTCATGACTTTTCAGAAAGTGAAGTGAGTTTTCTAAGAATTAAACAGGGACAACGTCCTAAATATGTTCCATCATTGTACTAGTCCCTCATTGTATATATGTATATTATCCACCCACTTTGTTAGCACTTTGAGCATGGGCCTAGTGCATGGAAAAGGCGCATTATAAGTTCACATTTATTATGATAATTATGATTATTATGATTATGATTGTGATTATTATTATTATGTTTTACAGATTAAAGATAGTATGCAGCAGAGAGGGTTCGGGTGATCCTGGCACAGTCAGGCTGGTAAGGCTCATCATCAGCTCAGGGCCCTTGCCCCCCTCTACACGCAGCCCAGACAGCGAATGGGACTTCTCCCAGGAAACGCTGCCTAGTCGAACCCACCAAGAACCTTCCGGAGAATATGAAGGCTCCCCAACACTGCAGCCTTCTGCATTACCCAGAGTGTCAGAAGGGCTGTGCTCCCGGTGGAGAACCCGGGCACTCTCCTGATCTGCGCCAAGAGATCAGGAGGTACCAAACCAAGGGCACCGAGAACAATGGGGAGCCTGACGAGCCTGAGCCTAATTATTATTGTTATTATTATTATTATTATTATTATTATATATTGTACAGTGATTCGTCACTTGTATTCATCACATTGTATCTTCTATTTTGTGGGGTAACCTGGTGGTTAAAGCATTCGCTTGTCACGCCGAAGGCCGTGTTCGATTCCCTACATTGGTACTACATGTGAAGCCCATTTCTGGTGTCACCCGCCATAATATTGCTGGAATATTCCTAAATGCGGCGTAAAACTAAACTCACTCACTCTATTTTGCTAAGCACTACAGCTACGAGAGTTAATCGTTTGTGTTGTAGTTGGTTGGGTTGTTGTTTAACGCCACACTCAGCAATATTCAAGTGGCGGTCTGTAAATAATCGAGTCCGGACTCGATGCATTAGCATCGATCTACGCTATTGGGATACGATGACATGTGTCAACCAAGTCAGCGAGGTTGACCACCCGATCCCGTTCGTCGCCTTCTACGACAAGCTTCGGGTGCTGAAGACCAATTCTAACAAATCCAGACCGTCACGTGTTCAACTCGAACCTGGATCTTCACGTGTATGTAATCGATGTAATGGTAGAAAGAACCTTTTATGGTTGACATACATTAAGTGTATAGTGTTACTTACCAGACTCAAGGAACTGGATGTCTTGCTGTATTTCGGCAGAAGCCGTCAATGGAGCTGTGGGTTGGGCTTCGACCGTCTGTTTCATGGCCACGACAGCCACGATGAAGAGTAGGAACCTCGACCCCATGTCTGGAGACAAACAAGAGAATAAAAAACTGACCATATCTCACATTGATAAGTATGCATCGCATTTTTGAGTTGAATGCATTCATGCATGAGGTCTAGACATCATTCATCTTTAGGCGTGGAATTCGCCCTGGATGGACTGTTTTACATAGATCTATATAATTATTATTATTAAAGGATAGCGCACATATCCAGGCAACTAGTGCTTGCTCAAGGCGCTGTTATTTTTTCCCTCGAAAATGTCAGTCTCAACGGCACATCGTGTTATCAATCTCAACTCACTGGGGATCATACAACTCTTGCAGCCACTAGGCGCACCGAGTTATTGTGGCCTTCTCATCCTAACGAGGTACCCATTCACAGCTGGGTGGACTGGGACACATAGTCACAGTCCTTTGTCCAAGTTCACTGCACGTTGCTGTACCCGCAACTTGGTGTTTGCACGTATTCATGTGGCCACCATCTGGTCATATACCAACGGATTCGTGGGTTCTGATAAGCGCACAGGGTTGTGTACTGTACACTAGGGATTGTGACAACACGGAAAGAGTCTGCACACAAAGTTGACTCCAAGGTCTTTACACCCGGTCACAGGTGGGCTCGATCCCGACACCTCAAGCTCGCTGGATCACTAGCCTGGCATCTTAGCCAGCTCGCCCACCGCGCCCCATATAACCTGAATGTACACTAGTTGAGAACACACGCATGAGACTTATTTCTTGAATGAAAATCAGTTACAGTCCTTGTTTTGTGCGTGTGTATTGAAAGCGATCGGCTTGTTGGAGAGAGCACATAGGTATGTATGTTTTGAGGTCATTTAGCCGTTGGAAAGAGCGCATAGATATGTTTGTTTTGAGGTCATTTAGCCGTTGGAGGGAGCACATAGATATGTATGTCTTGAGGTTATTTAGCCGTTGGAGAGAGTACATAGATATGCATGTCTTGAGGTCATTTAGCCTTTGGAGAGAGTACATATATATGTATGTTTTGAGGTCATATACCTGTTGGAGAGAGCACATAGATATGCATGTTTTGAGGTCATATACCTGTTGGAGAGTGCACATAGATATGTATGTCTTGAGGACATATACCTGTTGGAGAGAGTACATATATATGTATGTTTTGAGGTCATATACCTGTTGGAGAGAGCACATAGATATACATGTTTTGAGGTCATATACCTGTTGGAGAGTGCACATCGATATGTATGTCTTTTGAGGTCATATACCTGTTGGAGAGAGTACATATATATGTATGTTTTGAGGTCATATACCTGTTGGAGAGAGCACATAGATATGCATGTTTTGAGGTCATATACCTGTTGGAGAGAGCACACAGATATGTATGCCTTGAGGTCATATACCTGTTGGAGAGAGCACATAGATATTCATGTTTTGATGTCATATACCTGTTGGAGAGAGCACACAGATATGTATGCCTTGAGGTCATATACCTGTTGGAGAGAGCACATAGATATGTATGTGCTGAGGTCATATACCTGTTGATGAGAGCGCATAGATTTATGTCGTTTTGGAGAAAACACATTGAGTTTGTATGTATTGAAAGTCATGTTCCTGTTGGTGAGAAAACACAAAGTTTGTATGTACTGAAATTCATATACCTGAGAGAACACACAGGCTGTGTATATAAACATGAGTAACTGTGAGATTATACCGCTTCGCGGGACCAATGTTTAAAACTTATATCCTCGTGACAAGTGAACAGTTGACCTGTCCTTGCATGTGTTTGTGACGGATGCCACGGTAGGATCAGGATACATTCGTCTACATTACCACTATTCGATAAATCATAGTAGGTCATACGCACATGCTTTCGATATACAATGGATTCCACCTTCGGTAGATATTTCTTACCATTTCATATTTTGCTTCTTGTTGCGTACATTCAACAACATTATTCTAGCTGACCAAAGACCAATATGCAAATGGAGCAAACTTTGATGGTATAAGACCATATGTTTCTGCAGAAGTATTCAGAAACTTCAATTCTAATGGGTTTTAATCCTAAATTTGCCCGATTATGCATTGTTTTATTCACTTCGTTAGTTTACACGACATTGTATAAGGGATATTGTCAAACGCGATGTTACATCCCAACCCAATTGACGTGAATAAATGAATAAGAAGTTAGGTTGCTTTTCGAAGCATTCTACCAATATCAGGGAAGGTGATACCAGGATGAGATTGATACATTGTACCCATGTGTGGAATAGAACCCGGACCTTCGGTGTTAAGAGCGAACGCTTATGCCACAAGGATACAGAACCACTCAACTCCCTTTAAAACGAGAACAAACTTAAAACGATACTTAGATTCCATACATTGTACCCTGAGTGGACTACAACCCGGACCTTCGGTGTTAAGAGCGAACGCTTATGCCACAAGGATACAGAACCACTCAACTCCCTTTAAAACGAGAGCAAACTTAAAACGATACTTAGATTCCATACATTGTACCCTGAGTGGACTACAACCCGGACCTTCGGTGTTAAGAGCGAACGCTTATGCCACAAGGATACAGAACCACTCAACTCCCTTTAAAACGAGAGCAAACTTAAAACGATACTTAGATTCCATACATTGTACTCATGCGGGAAATAGAACCCGGACCTTGGGAGTAAAGAGCGAACGCTTAACGGCAAGCCTAGAGAACCACTCCGCATCTCACTTTCAAAAAGAGAGCAAATTAAAACGATACTTTACCTTAGTAATACCTCCTCCAGGTTACCTGATTAATCACGTAACACACACCTTTATACCTGATTGTAGGGGAATTATTTACCTGGACGTGCTAGCCTTTGATTGGCTGAGCAGCCTCTCCGCATCGTATAATTCTGCAATCACGTGAATGGGATCACATTTCTGATTCGACGTGACCAATATCAGTTCCTGGTATCTACAGAGGACAAAGGTAGGTTGTATATAATAATATTTTGATGTTTATATGGACGAGTCCAGATGACGGATATTATCCGTAAATAATAAAACACTTGTTTTTCCCTTGAAAAATGATTAATGACTGCATATGGGAACGGCAGGATGTAGCGTGGCATCCACGTAATGTTTAATTTATTCAACGTAGAGTAATATTTGATTTACTTTCACATATGCAACAAATATGTTTCCGTGGTTAAAAAAGAACATTTTCGATCATAAATTTACTGTGATAGTTACTAAAGTGTTGTTTTTTTCCACTATTCACGTGAGTAGGTACATTCATACTACAACAAGATCATACAGGATTGTACATTTTGATAACTCATGGTACTACACTTGATGCTGTAAGTAATAGCAGCTGTTAGGGTTGACTATTGAGGGGGGAACAACTATTTTCTCCGTGAATTGTGTCGTTTGAGGTAAATTCCCAAATGAATGTATAGTTTACATGAAATAAAGTCAGTTTCTTTTAATAACTGACAAAAAACTTGAAGCCCAGATAAGGGCGGATAACTCTGAATCAAAGTGAACGAATCTGGTACTTCAACTTCCTGCTGGTACATGTATCAACGGAAGTCAATTACTAAACTATCGATAGTCACGCATACTATCGATGCATGGATAGTTTTTCGTTTCTACCATCGATTAATTGCTATCGGAGACTCAACAATTGCTATCCATCGATATTTCGATGCATCGATACAGTCCTAGTAGCTGTTTGCTCATAGGTTGTTCGTTGTTCCTGGGCCTCCAGAAGACTGACCTTCAGAGGGCACCAGGTCAATGAAGTAGGAACATCCATACATTAGTACAAAGAGATCATACATCATACAGGATTGTACATAAGTCACGACACATCAGTTCATGTTGTCATTAATGGTAGCCGTATGCTAATATGTTCATTAAACGGTTTTTTCACTCTGGCAACATATCTTTAAAGGTAGCAATGAACGCTTTAAAAGACAAAGATTAATTTCTAATACAGACTTATATATAAGTCTTTTTCAGCCGTGAGTAGGTACATTCAAATATTACTACACAAAGATCATCCATTGTACATGTTGAAGAGTCATGACACATCATTCCACGTTGTAAGTTATGGTTGCCATTTGCTTTACATTCGTTTGCTTGTTTTTTTCATTCTGCCAACATATCTTTCCAGGTAGCGATGAAGGATTTTAAGGACAAAGTTAATTTCTAATACAGCCCTAGATAAATATGTATGCCGTTTCCCAGCAATGAATAGGTACAGTTGTAACTTACTACACCCAAATCCTACTGTGTACATGTTGAAGAGCATGACACGACATCAGTCCATGCTGTAGGTAGTGGTAGCCTTTTTGGTTTTTCATTTTGGCAACCCATCTTTCAAGTTGGAAGATATGTTTCAAGGTAGCAGTGAAGGGTTTTAGTTACTAAAGTTGATTAAATCAAATGTGCACATTGTGTATGAAATAAAAAAGATATTGTGTATGTGAAGTAACCTCGAAGGTTGGTATGAGGAAGTGGGATTTCCAGAAGTTCGTGAAGAGTGGGCGTTAGTATGTATCATAATGAACAGCACAACTCATCATCAGAGTATTGCATGCAACGTTGAGCGCCTGTCATCCAAACCCAGTATGGGTCATAAATAATGACAGGGCGCCTCGACATACGTTCAGCTTTGTGCACCGCCTGAATTGCTCAGCATATGTATGCCACTTGAGACATATTTATATAGCGAGACGTGGATGAGTATAAGGAACAGACCTGTGGATAAATGATAGATCCACAAAGATGTAGAAAATCTACATTTAAAATTAAAGTATTTACGAAAATGTTCTTCCTGGTGTTATTGTGTGATCCAAGGTTTGTTTCAATAAATACGAGGATCAAAGCCGACCGTCATTATCCCTATTATTTATTTTGGTTTAGACTTCACTCGCACCACTCCTTACGTTCGCTGACGGAATGCTTTATTTTGTCAGTTTTTCATGACACAAAAGGGATGAACCTTGCTGTCAACTCTGATTCGTTAAATGCAATTTCTTTTACGCCTCTATGA